TACAGGGAAAGGAAAGAGATTAAAATTAGCCAAGAGAAGATGTGCATAGGGTAGAGTCTGGTAAAGTACCAAATGTGGAGCTTCTGTTGCCCTCTCACATGGAGTCAGGGCCTGTTATTTCCCAGCAGTGATGTGTGCTTGGAGTATTGCCACCTGGGACTTTGAGGCTTCATGTCTAGAGTTTTTATTGGGGCTCCATTACATAGGCGTGATCCACTGCTCATGTGATAGATCTCAGTTTCCAATCCTCTAGGAGGTTAAGCTCTTGGTGGTTCAAAGCCCATACCCCAAATCACATTATTGGTGTGGCTTAAAGCCCCTAGATAAACAAAGACAAGCGTGACATTCCAGGGACTTAGAGATTACTTCTCAGAAGCTGAGGGCAATGGCCAGACTGCGTTTAGTGTAAAGTTAAATTTTCTACTATACGCATAAATAAAAAACACAAATAAGATTGGTAGAACCACCTTTATTTTTGTTTATTTATTGGATTAATATGAGAGTAAATATAATTAGGTTACCTTGTTTACATTTGTAAGGTAAAATCCAAGTTGCCATTGAGTTCTTCACCCAGAAAGTGTTTTCATATACCCTTACCTTGTACCTGTTAGGTGGGAAATTACTGAACCTCCTTCTCCTTCGCCCCTTCCCGCTTCTTGAATTCAATTGTGCTTTTCTCTCATGTGGGCCTGTAGTTGTTGATCTATTAGTTTGAACATAGTATTGAGCCACTTTTAACCCCTGTTATGAACTTCTTGAATACTAGGATATAGCAAGACTAACTCAAAGTTAGCCTAAGATCTCAAAAAGAACTGATCAGCAAAAAAAGCTTTAGCTGGGCATGGTGGTGTGTACCTGTGTAGTCCCAGCTACTCAGCAGGATGTGATGAGATCATTGCTTGAGCCCAGGAGTTTGAAATTGCAATCCACTATGATCAGAGCTGTGACTAGCCATTGTACTGCAGACAACATAGTGAGACCCAGTCTCCAATAAAGGGGGAAACCCCACAAACTTTGGAATAAGCCAATAATGCAATTAGCACAGAATGAGATAAAAGAAAATATCAGGAGGCTATAGCCACAGGTTAGAAAAGACTGCATATAAAGAACAGATGGAGGAAAGTTCCACTTCTTGCAGAAAGGCTAGGTCTCTTAAGGACTACAAAAGCTATCTAGGATCCAACTTTCCAAGGCCCTCCTCAACCTAACATTTCTTAGAAATAGCATTGTGGCAGTGTCTTCAACCTGGAGTTAATAATGGATGATTATGTATGTAAGATTTCATCTTGCTATTCTCAGGTACAAATGGCTCTGGGCTGCTACAACCTTCCAGGCTGAGAAGATGAGGTAACAGATAGGGGTGATGAAATATCAGAAATATAGCTCTCCTGTAATAAGGAAGAGAGGAGCACTTAAAGAAGTCTTGGAAACTGCCTTTTGGGGACAGTTTTAAAGACTTGGAAAAAGAAGAAAAAGTAGATCTATCTTTAAGGATATTTATGTTCTTGAAGCTATTTATCAAATGGCAAAGATCAACAACTCTAATGTATATCTATGGGAATTTTTTCCTCTTATGTTTTGGATTCTGATTTTCACATACTTTATACTTGATATTTTCATTTAGTCCTCATGATTCAAAAGAGGTGTTAGTAGATATTATCTCCATTTCACATTTGCAGGTAACAAGATAGAGAATCAGAGCTCAAACTAGGCAATCTGAGGCCAAAATAATAGTACCTTTATGAAATCTAGAGGTTTGTAAGCACAGTCATATCTCACCTGTCCATGACGTATCTCTTTGCTGCTGCCACCTGAATAGAACCAACCCGATGGAGCACCCAAAAGTGGCTGAAAGAATGTGTCCCCAAATCCATGCACAAAGTTTACATTCTTTATTAAATAGCCCTGTGTGCAGAACCAATTGTTACTTAGTGTTTTCATAAGTCTAATAAATATCATGGAATGTTTTGACAAAGGCAGACTAGAAATATCAGCTTAGAAAGAAGATAGTGGCTCATGCCTGCACTCCTAGCATCCTAGGATATAAGGTGGGAGGAGTGCTTGAGGCCAGAAGTTCAAAACCACCCTGAGCAAGAGGGATACCCTGTATCTTCAAAAACTAGAAAAATTACCTTGCATAGTGGCATGCATCTATAGTCCAACTACTCGGGAGGCTGAGGTGGGAATGGTTTGAGCCCAGGAGTTCAGTGTTGTGGTGCAGGCAGCAGAGGGAGACTCTGTCTAAAAAATAAGTAAGTCAATAAATAAATGAAAGAAGATGGTACAGTAAAAGTAATAGCTGTGAAGAGGGATGAAGACCATTGTTACTATGAGTCATCTGGTGTTTGAGGGCTTGCCATGTGTGAGCCTATCTCTGGGACAGGTATCTGAATGGATGCCACAGTGGGTATTAAATATGGTTTCTTTTAGAGATACTTTTATATACCTGATCTCCTTAATCCTGTGAGGAGTGTGTAAGGCAGGAATTATACTTGAAGATGACAAGGTGAAATTTAGCGTGGTTGATGAACTTGCCGCTGTCACACAAGCTAGTACCTTGTAGTAATATGAGCAAAAACACAATTCTTATAAATTTTTCAACCATTGTTATCCACCAGGGATTGGTTCCAGGACCCCACATATACCAACATGTGCAGATGCTCAGGTCCCATATTTAAAGTACATATGACCTACACACATGCTCCCATATATTTAAATCATTTCTGGATTACTTGTAATACATGTACAATGTAAATGATGTATAAATATTATACAAAGTGTTTTTTAAACTTTATTTTTAATTATTGTATTATTATTTAGTGTTTCTCTCCAATTTTTTTGATCCATAGTTGGCTGAATCCACAGATGTAGAATCTGAGGATCTGGAGGGCTGACTGTATATAGTTGTATGAGGAGAAGGCAGATAGCTGTCAGCTGTCCATAAGGGAGAGGCACAAATGTAACTGGCAACCTGCTGAAAGAATATATGTCTAAGTTACCTTATAAACACTGTTTTAGAGGGAAGAAAATAAGAAACAATGGATACAATTAGTTTTCCAGAGTAAGGATGTTTCTAAGTATGCCTTCTATCAGTGGTTCTCAAAGTGGACTGTGGACCAGCAACCTCAGCATTACATGAGAACTTGTTAGACAGATTCTCAGGCTATACTTCTCACCTATTAGTTGGAAATGCTGAATGCCAGGCCCAGTGATCTATGTTTTAACAAGCCCTCCCAGCAATTCTGATGCAACAGTGCCACTGCTATACATAGACGCCAATCACTCAAAACCATTACGCTTGCTTTCTTTTTTGCTTTGACTCTTTTTGGCTCCCACCACCTCCCTGGAGTGTAGCCTCCGTTTTGTGGCTGTTGGTGTGGTTGGCAGCTGTGGGTGGTTGGCAAGGCACAGCACTTGTATTCTGGAGACCAGGGCTAACAACAGATTTGGCACTTCCTGGCTGTGTGACTTTGGGCAAGTCAGTTGGCCTCTCTGTTTCCTCTCCATGAAGTAGAGTGATTTCCTACCTCAAAGAGCTGTTGTATATACTTAATTAAATACAAAATCAATGTGAAAGTGACTAATAGTGCCTGGCACTTAGAGAAGTGTTCAGTAAATGTTCTTAAATCTCCATTTGGCACCTGGAAAGCCCCTCTCCAGTCCTGAGGGAGGACCGGAGAGGACATTAAGGAGGGAGGCTTGGCCTCTGAGTGCTGCAGTTAGTCCCCTCTTTATCTTTACACAGTAAACAAGTGGAGGCAGCCCAGGGGAAGGAGGAAGTCCCAGGACTGGCCAGATTAGAGGTTGGCAAACTATGGCCATGAGTGAAATCTGCCCTGTGCCTGTTTTGAACAGCTCTTGAGCTAAGACTGATTTTTACATTGTTAAATGGTTAAAAGAAAAAGAAGAATGATATTGTATGCCACATAAAAATTCTATGAAAGTCAACTTTTAGTGTCCAAAGGTAAAGGTTTATTGGAGCACAGCCATACGCATTGATTTACATATGGTCTGTGGCTGTTTTGTGCTATAGTGGCCATGTTGAGTTGTGCTGAGACCATATGCCCCACAAAAGTTAAGATATTTCCTCTCTGACCCTTCACAGAAAAAGTTTGTGGATCCCTGAGCTAGACAGAGAGTAGAGAGACTTGCAACAACATTGACAAAGCAGGGGCATCATTACCTTCATTTTTCAGATGAAAAATTGAGTCTCACAGTTCACCCTAGGTCACAGAACCCATTGGTGGTGGAGCCAGGACTTGAATTGAGGCCCAGCTGCCTTCCCAGCTGAGTTTGTACACACTGCTGTACCGCCTAGTGGTGCTGCGTGGGTCAAATTAGGAGAGGCTTTGGGTCTCTGAAATGCATTGGGCAATTAGCACTGGCAAGGCTGAAGGGAGAACAAGGGTGCCTTGTAGTGTTATAAGCACTCAGGAAAGGGGATTAGATTTTGAAATGTTTATGTGGCTTATTTAATGGAAAGTAGAAAAACAGGCAGGAAGAAAAATCCTTATCACAGCAGATACCTTTGGGCTGAAATCATTTTTCACCCCTAGTGCAGCACCACCATCCCTGAAAAAAGTGTTTATCCACATCTCTCTCCCAGGCCTGTTAGTTAGTGCAGCTTGCTAATGAGGAGTGGTCATTTTGAGCCCATAGCAGGCTCGAGGAAGGGGAAAGAGAGCTAGGGAGTAGGGACTGGAAAGTGGAGGGCTCTGTTGCCTTTTTGTCTGTAAAATAAGAATGTCAAGGAACAATTGTTTCTTCATTCCTGTGAATGTGAGCCTTGTGTTTTCAAAGGTCAGTGCCTGTGAGCACATCATGGTTTAGAGTGGGTTCCTATGGTAATCAGGCCATCGTGACTGAGGGCATTTTGTGTCAGAAAACAGGGTGTTGGATTTTCATCCTTCTGTGCAGTTCATGCTTGTTTCCTGCAAATGTAACCATTTCTGTTTTCCCCCTTATTCTTCTTGTTTTCATCCTTTCTGTACTACATATAGGTCTGGAGCCAGAGCTTTCCCCAGCAGGTATGGTTTCTCTTGCATTCTTACTGTCCCTGCCCTGTACCCAGCACCCCTGAATTATAGGGGAACCAGAGAATGTTCCTTATAAGTGAGGATTTTTTCTCCCCTATTTCTCAGATGAGTGGAGGCTTTCTTCCAGTGCTGATGCCAATGGAAATGCCCAGCCCTCTTCACTGGCTGCCAAGGGCTACAGAAGTGTACATCCCAACCTTCCTTCCGACAAGCCCCAGGTAGGCGTGTGCTGGGGGGTTGGGTGGGGACTGGTGGGTGGTACCTGTTTTTGAGTCTTTTAGCTTAGACTTGTGACTTCTGCTTGCCCAATTGGATAATGAAATAGATTTCGTGTTTTTGACCACCTCTGGAAAAATCTCTGCAGGGACCAGAGTTAGGGGGAAGGTTGAGGTCAAGCCCAACAGAGGCTTAGAATGGGGTTGGTCTATACCAGAGTATTGGAAGTAGGCTCCGATGTTTTCTAGGTTTGATGTTCTGAAGGAGGGAATGCATTTAGCCTTGTATAAGTAGGAAAAAGATCTGAGCTTGTTTCTTTTCTTTTTTTTTTTTAAACGTTAGGCCAAGCCAGGCATAGTGGGTGATCCTAGCATTTTGGGAGGCCAAGGTGGGAGGATCACCTGAGCTCAGGAGTTTGAGACCAGCCTAAGCAAAGGGAGACCTCATTTAAAATATTTTCTAAAAATTGATAAACTAGCTGGGCATTGTGACGGGTTCCTGTAGTCCGAGCTACTCAAGAAAACTGATAAGTGGATCACTTGAGCCCCAAAGAGTTTGAGGTTGTTGTGAGCTATGATGCCATGGCACTCAACCCCAGGGTGATTGAGTGAGACTCTGTCTCAAAAAAATAAATAAATAAAAATTAAAAAATAAACTCTTTAGAGTATAATGTTCAAGAAAAAAGTGTATCTTGGTTTGGTGCCTGTGGCTCAAGTGGCTAAGGCGCCAGCCACATACATTTAAGGTGGCGGGTTCAAATCTAGCCCAGACCCGCCAAACAATGACGGCTGCAGCCAAAAAATAGCCGGGCGTTGTGGCAGGCACCTGTGGTCCCAGCTACTTGGGAGAGTGAGGCAGGAGACTCGCTTGAGCCCAGGAGTTGGAGGTTGCTGTGAGCTGTGAAGCCACGGCACTCTACCCAGGGGGATAGCTTGAGGCTCTGTCTCAAAAAAAAAAAAAAAGTATATCTTGTGTTTATTCCAATTATTATTATTCTAGTTGGAGCTGTAAGAGGAAGTTCTAGCAACTGTACTCTTACAGATTACGATCAGGTAGCTGTGGCCAGACTCTAAATCCAGCTTCCCAGGAACAGGCAGATAGAAGTCAAAATGGCAGTAGCATGAACAGCCCAGGTCTGCCCTGCAAAAAAAAAAAAACAACACAAAAAATCCCACCAAAGCTGTCGAAGTTGGAATAAGGATAATTGTGCCTAAGCCTTTTCCCCTAGGCAGTTTTCCTGATCTTTCTTCCTTTGCCTCAATCCCTGTTGATACTCTGCCTTTAAAATGAAAGGAATAGATCCTGCTTTAATTCAGGTGATCTGTGAAGAGTGTTTTTACATAAAGGAGCCACATCTATGGAATGGAGCAGTCCTTTCTCCTAAAGGAAGCCGGGCTGCTCAAAAACTGTTGGCAGAAATGTGTTCTTCAAGTGATGTGTGGTGTGTGGTTCACTTCCCTGTGCCTTCGCTCTGTAAAGGTGCTCCCAGAACTGAAACGGAGACCAGATTTTACAGGACCTTCCTGGTCACCCCCTACCCCCTTCAATGATCTGGCTCTTTCTCCTGAGGACACGAAATTGCACTGGCCCTTGAAATAAAAGTGACTCAGAGATAACATTTTCTTTCCTCTCCGTAGGCTATCTTCCCAGGCTTGGAGTTTGTCACTTGGTTCTTTGCCTTGTGTGCTGAGGTGCCCCCTTAAAACCTTTCTGCTTCCTGCCATGACTTACCTCCCTAAGTACAGCCATGTGCATCCAGGGCCACTGGTTAAAACCAGGAGATGCAAATGTACCTGGCTCCCTGAGGTCCTCATTAGACTCGGAGCTTGGGGTGGTCACTTGTCCAGAAAGCGACTTGCTATAGTTTTCCCATTTTGAAAGCCTTTCCCAGTGTACAGATGTGCTGCCTATGGCAGACACAATTCCTTCTCAGCCATCTCAGGAATGGATATAGTTCACTCTGTGCAAATTAAAAAACAGTACTTATTAATTCAACAGAAATGTAGAAGCACATTCTTTTCCATTATCAGTGATTTAGTCCAAAGGGTAACTCAGTCATTCATTTTGGCTTCTTAAGCAGCTCTTTTAAAGAGATGATTTTAAAAGCCTGTGAAGCAAATAAAACTTCCTTTAAAATACATTTAAAAAAAAAACCAACTTTATTGAGTATCTCTGCTGTGTTCAGATCACCGTGTTAAACATTGCCCTCAAGGAGTCTGTAAGCGTGAGTCTTATAATAACAGAGAGCATCGTGTGATATCTTGAACAAACAGCGTGTTTTCTTATCTGTCAGTAGTCTAGAATTTTTTCTTTTTACCAGGGCTTCTTAATGGAAACAAGGTAAATTCCTGATATAGAGGTTTTATTCTGTATATTCGGTGCAAAATTGTCCATCCAAATTTCAAGAACCTTTAGGTCACGCATTACTTCTTAGATTTATTTCCTGAATACAAACATGACTTCTTGCTGTGCAGCCATTACCAGAGCTGTAAGTACACACTGATTTAGGCAAAGCCAAGGTGGACTGGGCTACTGACCACCCTGACTTGATTTGAGCTGAGGAAAACTCTCGGACCCCTGCAGGCCTAGCATTTCCTCATGAGGACTGAGTTGGGATCTAGGAGACCCATGGGTCAGATGGGAATCCTGTGTCCTGTTGCCCTCTCTCCCCATACACGGTTACAGAAAACCAGAACCTTCCTCTCTTTGACATCATCAGCACCACCATGGTGGTGCCCAGTGGAGGGGAGAATTGGTAGTTTCTGGAACTGTAGAAACCATGTATATACTATTTTTTCACTGACCACCTTCTAAAAAGATAAATGAAATTTCTTAGTAGCCAGCTGGGCAGAATGCAAACTACCTGTGTGATTCCTATAATTTTTGCATTAAAACAAAAAGTAGTTCCTTCCATATGGAGTCCCTGTGCCAATCTCTTTGCTGCTTCAGGCAAAAAGAAGCCCTGGGACAGGAAGAGCTTTGGCTCTGAGTGCACTGTTGATGCTCTGGGGAAGCGTCCTCTCTGCAGGGTTAGAACATCGGGAAGGCTCTGGCCTGATGTAATGCAGCCTTGGCACCATATATGGCCACAGCAGAATTAAGTTAAAAACTCATTGAAACTGATTTCTATCTTTGGACAAGAAGAAATCACACGTGGCTTAAAGTAAAAGTAAATATGAGACCGTATCAATACTGTCTTTGCTTACCTCCCTACACCTGTTATCAACTCACCTGGCAGTCCCTTTGGTGTGTGCTAGTCCAAATGCTTTGTTTCTAGAGGGCCTCATTTAGTCTCTTATCATGCCCAACCTCCAGTCTGAGTTCACTGACTCAGAGTTCATCTGGAAGCTTTTGCTCTAGCTCAGTGGTTCTCAATCTTCCTAATGCTGCGGCCCTTTAATATAGTTCCTGTGGGTCACGACCCACAGGTTGAGAACCGCTGCTCTAGCTGATACTGGAGAGTGGCTCTTCCCTTTGGTTTTGTGACTGGTATCTATGGTTACATTGCACCGTCATGGGCACCTGTGAAAAGAGCAGGCATTGAGTTAACCTGGGATTCCCAAATAGCTACTTCTCTATTCTGCTTATTTGTACCTTGAAAATCAAGTTTAAAGGACAGTTATTTATTATTTCTAGACTGATACTCTAATCCAGGCTCATAAAACATCTTACATTTTTCACCTATTCACCCTTCCTAATATTCCTTCCCCCTAGTGCCACTAGCAATCTGTAGATACAAAAATGAGCTGCAATGTAATTCCCTAATAGACCCAGACCCTTGTACTCTTCCTGTTTTTGGTCACAACCCATTTATCAGATATTTACCAAATTCTAGTATATCTATCTGTGCAATTTGGAGGAAGGTTCTGTTTTTTTTCTAGTACTGGGATATCTTTAAAGATAGGGGTCAATGAAGAAAATCTAGAAAAATGAATTCTTCTTTATCTTGTGGTCGCAGTTGAGCCACTTTGGCAGGTGGTACCACTGAAGCGAAGGTCAGTCTGGAGAGTTACCCCACTGCCTGACCCTCTGCTCCACTGAGACGCAAGGAGGAATGGTGGTTGAGGGGAGAGGGAATGAGATGTGAACTATGGTTCTTGAGCTCTGAGCCTATAACCAGACCTTAGGGCTTAAATCATGTGAGTTCTGAGGGTGAGCATGGTAGTGGGCTGGGTAGGATAAGGATGGGAATGGGGCTGGATTTTGATAAACCAGGCGCAGTCCAGTCTTGTAGGCCAAATGAGTAAGTACTTCATTGCCTGATCCCTTTTTCTGTGTGTGTCAAAAATGAGAGACTGTGTGCTTTTAATCTCATGCCTATCTTCCTTCTAATAATTAGTTCCATCAAATTGTTTCCTCTGAGGAAAGAGCACATGTATATTCAAAAGTCCTTAGCATTCTCTTCTTGGTGAGCTTTAATTTGTTATGCTTATGGAATTGAGTGTTAAATCTCAGTGATTCAATTAAAACATCTGTCTCTCATGAACACAAATAAGGATGGGATGGTTCTTCCAGTTCTCCTTTTCCTAAAGGAAAAGAAGGAAAGACACTCAAAACGAATCCAGTCAATTTAAACTTTTAAAGCCAAAGACTTAAAGAGAAAGGTCTTGGGGAAAGGAGGCTAGAGAGGGAATTGGAGGCTTTAGACTGGCTTTTTGTTCCTTTGGCACCCTTTCTGCGTCAGGAGATCTAATAAAGATGCAGTCTGCCGAGGACTGGTGTCAAAATCAATTTAGCATGTGGCCTCCCATGGGCTGGGCTCAGCCTCCCTGGGGTGCAAAGTAGAGTCAGGCCCACCTATCTAGGTGAGTATGATTCAATCCCTGGCTTTACCCAGAAGAGAAAAGTGGGCACCATGAGGAGTCTTAACCTGAGAATTTGCTTAAAATCATGTCAATAATTGTTTTTTCTTCAGATCGTGTTATGCTGCTGTTTCTAATGGTCGTCCTTTCCATTTCCCCTGTTTCTTTTGTTCTCTGTTTTGATACCATGTCTTGAAAATACTACTAAAGGTTCTCTCTCTCCCACGCCCTCCTCTCCCTGAAGAGAAATGCTTTGCATGGCAGCCCCCCACCAACCACAGCACTTATAAGGACTCCCTCTACCTGAGCTCACCAAAGCCTTATGTCCCACCTGGCACCCCCAGCCAGCAGAACCCCTCACAACCCCAGCCCGTCTCTGTCCTCTTGGCAGCTGGTACGGCTCCCAAAGGTGCAGTGTGTCCTGGTCCCTTGCTTCCAGGTTCCACATTCCCCAGTGCTTCATCCCAACCCCAGCATCACTGTGCAGCCACTAGGACAGTTTGTAGTAAGAATGTGAGCTCTAACCCGTGTCATGAGTCAATTGGGAATAAAAAGGTCAGCAGCTTATATGTACCTTGTTTATCCAGTAACATTTGCCTGGCAGCGTCAGAAAACTCCTCTCCTGTTGCACGTGACCCGGCCAAAGGCACTCCCTTGGAGGCTGCAGGCACCCGAGCACAGGCTCCCAGCCTTGTCTCCCGCACAGCCGGCACTGGAAAACCACCCCCTGCTCCTCCTCCTGACCCTCCCAAGCTGTTCTTTGACATCTGTAAAGATGGCATTAACCGTGGTGAGAGTCCTTCCCTGGGGCCTCGGGCTTCGTTCCCAGATGCAGTGAGACCACCTGTGGTAGGCCCCCAGGTTACCTCTGATCCCGAAAACCAGAAGAGCAAAGAACCTTACCTTTTGCAGCCGAGTTATCCAGCCAAGGCAAGGAATTAGGAATGTTTGTGTGTCTTCTGCACTGTCGCCTTCCAAACTGATGCAAGCAACCCATTTGTTCCCTGAGCTCCCCGATCTTCCCTTTCCGAGTAATGTTGCTGTGGCTTGAATTCCAGATTCTTGTGTCTGAGTGTCTCAGCACGGTGCTCACCCTGTCTCTGTCTCTCTCTCCTTTTCTGTAAACGTGTAAGTATGCCGGGGTGTGGAATCTGCACACTAGTAACACGGTAAGATATGGAGTGTTTACGTTTTATAACAAGGTGCCAACAAGATTGTATTGATCTCAAGCTTTCAGGCTCTACAGCGGTTTCGTGGGTTAAACACAGCCTGCCTGCCTGTTCTGCTGTTGTCTCTCTTTCTCTCTCATAAAGTGTTAAAAGGATTCAAAAATAGATGGATGGAAAGTGAACTTGGATGGGGCTCCCTGTGTGTCAGAGCGTATCAGGAGGCCAGCTGGCGAGCACCATGTCTCATGTACTCTGAGGAAAGGGCACCGATTAAATATTTCTCAGAGTACATCACTGCATGCCCACTGTCAACTGTTTAATTGTGGAATTCCTTCCTCCCGTCATACCCCTTTATGTAACGCCCCCCTTATTTTTACAGGGTGCCACTTCCTCCGGCCCAGGCCAGCCTGAGGTAATAGTTGTCCCTCTCTACCTGGTTAATACTGACAGAGGGCAAGAAGGCACTGCCAGACCTCCAGCATCTCTGGGGCCACCTGGTGGCGTCCCCACAGTCCCGACGACCACCCCTGCCGCCTCACCTCTGACCTTCCCGACTCTAGATGATTTCATTCCCCCTCATCTGCAAAGGCGGCCCCACCACAGCCAGCCAGCCAGTGCTTCTGCCTCCTTCCCCCCCGTTAGCCAGACACCACCATCCTTCTCACCACCACCTCCGCTGGTCCCTCCCGTACCGGAGGACCTCCACAGAGTCTCGGAGCCTCACCCCACAGGAGCTGTTTCAAGTACCGTAAGCTTGCTGGACTTCCCTCCCTGGCTTTCCTGAATGTCTGCTCCCGGCAGTAGAACTCCCTTTCTCACGGAAGTACTAAGTTTGAGGAAAGCGGTGGCTGCGCTGTGCTTGTGTGATGACTAGAACCGCGTCTGCTGTCACTAGAGTGCATGCTCCCGCGTGTCTTCCCCGGGCCTCGCGGCTGTCACAAGCCCTCAAGTCCGTCCTCTTCTCTGTCCTGTTGGGAATGCACAGCTTCCTGAAAGCACTTTCTGTCCCTCTGAGAACACATCGTCTGTGGCCCTGGCGAGTCGTGCTCTTCCCAGGCCGGGCAGACGTAACGTTGAGAGCTGAGGAAAGCCGAGGAGTTAACGTGGAAAGGCCAGCAGCAGGCATGGCGCTACCTAGCTCTGTACCAGGGAGCGGGGAGACGCTAGGGTAGGAAAAGAGCCGCTCTTTTGTTGATTTAGTAACTAAACAGACTCTCTTTTTACATACAGAAATGGATAAAAAAGGAAATTGGGACAGTTGGGTTTAATTGAGCAAATGGGCCTGAAAGCCTTGTACAAATGTTAGGACTGTTTCCTCCAAAAGCAGACAATTGTGAGGATCCCTGAGAGGCGGTCCCGGGAATCTCTGTGGCAAAACAGGGCACCAGTGGTCACGAGAAGCTAAAGGGCCCTGACATCTCAGGTCCCGTCCTAGAGGGAGGCAGGGAGGGGTCCCCATCAGAAGTGGGTAAGTCCAGCTGCTTTAGAGAAAATGCCGAGTCAAAGTCCTTGGGTTTGCTTTTTCCTCAGGAGCCCTGAGGAAGTGAGAGAGTCTGAAAGAACTTCGAGTGAGGTGTGATGTGAGGATACGTGCCTCTACTCACAGGGCTGCGAGGGTCAGTGGGATCGAGCAGTTACAGTTCCTGCTGTGGTGCTTGGCAGAGAAAAAGTGCCCAGTGAACATCATCTATGTTGCTGAGGCCTTGCCCTAGCAAGTGGGAGTTGTGGGGGAGACAGAGTCACTCACAAGTAGGTAACTGGTTCGTTAACAATTAATCACTGAGTTCCTTCCATCTTATAGGCCTTCTGCCTTGGGTACAACCATAAGCAAGTCAGGCCTCCTGCTCTCAAAGGGTTTTTTAGAGTTGTTTATCATTTCTCAAGCTTGTACATGGGATCGTCTAGGGGTCAGGGAGGCCTTGTTTAAATGGTCACCTCTAGGCTATTCTCCTAGAGCTTTTGTCTGAGTGGGTCTGGAAAAGGCCCTAGCGATCTCACTTGGTAGCAAGCACCCCAGGAGGTTCTAAACACTGGGAGTTCACATGCCACATTTTGAGATAGAGCTAGTGAGCATGCAATTAGCTGATGGAACCAAACATTCACAGACATCCTTTTGTAGGGAGGTATGTCTACAAAATGGGCCCAAGTAGCTTGTTAAGTGGAAATCAGTCATGTAGAAAACAGGAAGAAAACTTTTAGATTTGGCTTATTAAAGAAATTATAATGAGGCATCAGGCATACCAAACCTGAGAACTGCTATATCCTATCCTGGGCCGGGGCTTCTAAAATCTCTAGATAATATAGCATGATGTGGTTAGGTCAGGACCAGGCCAGACATGGCCCATGGACTTGGCTATCCTTTTAGCTTTGAGCTTTGCAACTTAGACCTATTGGAGAAAAATGGTAGATTGTTCCTTGAAACATCCTCCTACCCTCCCTGAACTTAGAATTTAGAAGCCACTCTTGTTTGGGGGCATGCAGGCATCTTCGCTTTGGCACAGAGTTTTTCTAGAGTAACAGGTAAAGTGAGTTTTGTGTTTAGTGCACTGATATACCATGGTGAGTAGTTTTGTCGTGCACTCTGTAATTTATTATTTGTGTAAGTCTTCGTTTTCATATCAAGTCAGTGTTTTCAGTTTCTCAAGCCTGACTAATCAGCCTGGGGTAGACTTCTGGGAAGGACTTCAGTTGGTCTGATAACTTTTGGTTTGGCCCCAGGTAACAGAGTAAGAGTGAAGGAAACTGTCTGGGTTCCTCCTCAGAAAGAATTTGACTAGAGGGGAAGCCCTTGTGGGTTTGTCTCAGCCAGGAGTTGATACCTGCTCCATCTGCAGCTGGAGAATAAAAGAGAAGAATAAAAGTCGGGTTAATTGATCTGAATTCTTTTAGTCAATAGCTGTTTTTGTGATGTTCCAGAAATAAGATACAGTAAAATTTGTAAAATGCTCAATGCTTATATGAACCACCCAAACACCGCATTAGGCATTAATACTTTAAAGAGCCGTATGCCTGACATTTTGTGTTTCTTGGGTGCATGCTGGCAGAGATTTTAATGATATGCCATTTATCATCATTATATCACTTTGGAAGTAAATTAGAAGAAGTGTAATTATTTTCCACTTTATAAATGGAGGGATCAAAATGAGGCACTTTTGTACGAGATCATACTGTGCTTCTCAAGTCTTGGGAAAAGGGTTTATTCATTAAATTGAGCTGCTGCTTATAACTAACAGCAGCAGCTACTTGGAGCATTTTCAGAAGAGACAGACTAACCTAGCGAGTGTTTATGAAGCCCCAGAAGCTGTCCCAGGTGCTGACACCCACATCCTCGCTTTTGATGAGCCATGTGTTTTCTTGCCACAAACGTTTGCTTAGCTGCACCTTTGCAGGTAAATGGCTCCTGTCATTCCCAGGGCATTTACTGAATACCTGCTATCTGTGGAACATTGTGCTGGATGTGGGTAGGGGGTGGCCCTCATTCTATAGATCTTTACGCAGACTTTGCTATCAAAATCTTCTTTTAAGATGAGCATTCTGGCTTTAGGGTTTGTAAATTCTAAAATAGAAACTTTGAAGTATATATACAAGTGGAGGAAACTGTCTAAATAGCCTTACTATATCTCAGGATCTCATTTTCCTTTATTTATAAAGGCTAGCATTTTCTACAATATGCAGATATAATGCTTGTAATAATTTATGTGGTATTTCTGGCAGTGACCTCGGCTTTTAAAGTCAGGATTCTCACAAGGCTTTACATCAGGGATCTTTGTTACTCTAATAGTAGAGTGAAAAAAATGTCACAGGAGGCTAGGGTAATATCCAAATCTCAAAAGCAAGCATTGGTAAAATTGCTCACTGATGCTGATGCTAAGAGCAGCTTTCCCAGAGAACTGTTACTTAACTCCTCCCTGTCCTTACATCACAAGTGCCTTGTCCTCACATTGTCTTACATTTCTTTACACAGTATACTAAACTGTCCTGATTTTTCCCAATTAAACCAGCTCTTACTCTTGGATCACATTTGGAATTGCATGGGTTTTGCATGTTATTTTACTTTGATTTGGATTTGCTTTTCCAGTAACCAGATTGACCACCAACTATTACCAGGTGAAGACAGTGAATGATGTTGCTGAGGCTTTCAGTAACATTGACCTTCCCCCTCTCTCCCTTTACTAATACCAACAAAGAGAATACGCATTCCAGATTAAACTTTTAACTGGAATTAATGATATGATATGTCTCATTGATCACATTTCTTTTTGTAATTAAGGTCTTTGTAAAGCTTTAAATTTCTTCTTTTTAAAAAACGCTGATTCTAGATATCTCATATTTACAGTTAGTTAGATTGTTTATTTTCTTTTCAGGAATCCAGTCCCCTATTAAATGAAGTTTCTTCTTCCCGTATTGGAACTGATTCCCAAGTCTTTACACCAGTTAGCAAGCCATCATCCGCCTACCCCTCCACAACGATTGTCAATCCTACTATTGTGCTCTTACAACACAATCGAGGTAAGGGAACATTGTGATGTCCACTGGAATAATTGACATAGAATAGTCTGTAATATCTTATACTTGCGTATTCATGGTTGTATTCTTTAGCTGGTGACACCAAAACAAAAAAAAGGAAAAAAAAAAAAAAAAGGAAAGAAGGAAGGGAAAAAGTTTTCATCTCCTAATTCCTTATCATGAGAAGGAACTTAGCCAAAAGGCTGAGAAGCAAACATCATGAGAATTCTAATTGGAGGTTTAGCTTGGAAAAGCTAGGTGTAGTAATGCATCTTTTAAGTAATGTCATATATGATTTAGTTCTTTGACAGAATGAATTTTCTAGAAAGCAGAATTTTGAGTATGAGATTGAAGAGAAAACTTGCTGGGAGAGAAAAATTTCTAGAATATTAAACATGTTTTTGTACCTAAAACAGATGCTGTTGAACTTTTCTTGGTGACTCACTGCCCGTAATTCTTGCCAGCAGTTACTGCACAAGCTGTTATTCTGTGGTCCCCTTGAGGGACATGAGGTTCATGGAGCTGTTTGTCACCTTACCGTGAGGCTCCAGGCAGTGCTGCTAGAGTTTGTGTTTTGTTTTCTATAGTGTCTATGAGTGGTTCTTCTCCTCCTCCAAAAGAGCCCTGGGGTTGGGTGAAATTGAAGTACTCAAGGTAGTCATTGTATATGTTGACCCTTCTGCTTAAAAATTTCAGGCGGTGGCTCTAGATGCCACCCTCTCCTTTTTGGAATTCCATAGAGGGATAAACTTTCCCTTTGCAGAAGTCCTTTGCAGCACAGATGTAAAGTTTCCAGGCTATTTCCTTGTATAGAAAGGGCTTTTTAGTCTGAATTTCAAAGAACAGTGAAGGTTTGATTATTTTGTCGAGAGCTCAAAGCTCATTATAGAATCATCCTCTTGCCTCCTAACTCATAGTTTTCCTCTTCTCCCCCCCTTCTCCCTGCGTTGACTTGGAAGAGAATGGGACTAAAGTCTATTTTTAATTGTTTTCCATACTAAACAGAGTTTTCTGTTTCCTGCTTCTAATTTGAAAAGTAGATGAATAAAACATTTTCTCTTACTTTAAATCTTTCCACTGAAATCTTAAATAGTAGTTTTCGTAGTTTGGGTTTTTTTCCACTGTGTGTGGCTCCCATGTTAATTGTCACCCATGGATCTGTGTTTTTCAGAAGATAAAGGGAATCCCAGCCCCCACACTGAACTATGTAGGAGCCCATTCTCCATCAGCTATGCCATGGCCCTTACTGGCAGTAGCTCTCTATGGTCAGAAAGTATCCATAATGCAGGACAAAGTGCATTTTTGGTTCTCTGATCTTCTTTATGACTCATTTTTAAAGAAAAAGTTCAGTCAAACAGAAACAAGTTAATTCCCAGAAGGAAAGGCATTTTCTTTAAAAATGGGATTTATTCCCAAGGCAACTTGGGTTTTGTGAAATGCCTAGTGTAATGTCAGCTGCTTCTGCCAGGTCCCTCAGTGAGACATCTTTGGGCACAGAAATAAATGCCTATAGTTCCTTTCTGTTTCTGCCTTGAACACATGAATTCCTCTTACTTCCCTTTGGTTCTTCTTGTCTTTCTCTTTTGTACAAGTTCTGCCCTTGGATTTATAAATCAGAATCGTGCAGCCTGAGACACACATGCTTCAGAAAAGAATCTAAGTAATGGCATTAGTCTTTTGTAATTAAATGGTGGCTCCCATCAAGAGCAAAACCATATGTTCACTAAGCAGGTAGGGCAGGAAGAGTCAAGATAGAAGAGTCTGACTGGCCCACTCCTGTATTACTAATCATAAATGGGGCTTAGGTCAAACGCTTTTGGCATTGCTTCGGATGTACCCAACCTGGAAGCTCTGTTTTGCTTCATAAACAGTAACCACAATTTCTTAACTATTGCAAAGTCTCCTAAGGGAATGATAACTTTACTTCTGGAATTTTAGTTTAGTCATCTTAAAAACACTCCCCCTTTTTATTTCTGCCTAGACTGTCCTAGGGCATAGTGTGACAACAATCCTGTCTTACCCAGCCAGCCGCTCCTGGTAGAAACAGAAGGGCACTGAGCCTCTGGTCTGGCGCCGATGGTTGTGAACAATACAGCCCTTTCTCCATGTTCCCTGAGTTTTCATAACATGTATTTGGCGGCAGATCACTTACCAGCAGTCTGAGAAGGAGGACTTGAAACAGGGAAAGTCTTAGGACTAAAAGAGCCACATGAGGGTCCTCGTGCACAGTGCTTCTCAGTGTTTAATGCACTTAGGGTCCTGGGAGTCTTTGTTAACCTCCAGGTTCAGATTCAAGATGGCTAGGGATCAGGGGACAAGATGCTGCATTTTCAGCGCTGGTGGCCTACTGATCACATTGGAGAACTATAGTGCAGTAATTCCCTATATCTTACCGACACATGAAACAGTCTAGGGGTCACCCTAGGGTATCCCATTTCTGACTTTGCTAAATAGCACCACTGAAAATCAGCTACTACTGTCTGTGCCCAATGTCATCTTATGAAAATAAGGCCATTCACACCCCAGAAGTGGGGACAACACAGTCTTTTATATTGAATACATCCACTTCTGTGGGCTAGAGAGGCTCCGCCAACAGCCTACACAATAGTCTGAGAACCAAAGTTTCCTTTAGCTATAATACCAGAGAGCACTCTGATTTAACTGATGAAAAAAATGAGGCCCAATGGTTATAAAATGATTAGCTTTTGTCATTTGCAAATTGCTGGCAGAGCTGAGCCTGAGGTCCAGTGGGCTTCTGCCTGTCCAGCCAGTATGAACCTCATCCACGTGTCAGAAGTGGATAGTTGCCACTTCCGCCAGCTGTGAGCTCCCAAGCTGCCTTCTGTCTGCTACTTGCCCACACTGGGTCTAGTAAGAGGGTGGAGACACAGCCAGCAGGGATGATCACAGTACCCATGGGCTGGCAAGTATTCTATTTTTATCTATGTGACTGCTTTATATTTAGCAGCTGTAGAAGGTAAAGGTCACTTTTGTACTTATCTCATAGCACGTACACATAGGACCCTGTAAAGATGTTGGCCTCCCCTCTGCGTGCACGGCCAAGATGGCAAGAAGTTGACAAGAGTGTCACTGTGAAGGACCAGCTGGGTTTTGTTAATTAGGGTTGGAAAGAACCCTGGGCTAGGGGTTGGGAGATCCAAGTTCTAGATCCAGCTGATTTTCAGTGTTGTCTTGAGGAATTCATACCCCTTATCTGAAGTCTCCCAGCCAACATTGATTTTTAAGGATTTCTCCAGTACCCTGACTAGCCAGATTGCTATAGTGACTAAGGTCATGCCTTAGTTTCCTTACTTGTACAGTGGAGATAATAACTGTACCTAATTTCTATGGCTATTGTGAAGATTACACAATAATTTGTGTAAAATTTGTGTATTATGTAAAAGCTCTTAAGACATTGTCTGGAATGTAGCAAGCTTTCAGGAGATGGCTGCTGCCGTGGTTATGATTGTAATCATACAATCATACATTTCACTTGAAAGGTACTGAGGCTGGGATCATATAGGTCCTGCTCACTTGAGGCCAGGGGAATTGGGAGAATCCCCTTCAATGATTAGATCAGCTTGAGACAAGATATAAACTGCTAGAAAGCTGTAGCAGTCCCCTGAAACCTGGTGCGTATCTGGGGAGAGGAAAGATGACACCAGGCCTGTGGAATGGGAGCCATGTTAAGACCCCTGTGCTCGGCTGAGCTACACAGCATCTAAGCCCAGAGAACAGTGAGGACACAGAGTTGGGGTCCTAACTATTTACGCCAGGACTTCTTGGTCTTACTATGTGATGTATAAATCTCACTCATGCTATGTGTCCTTTTCTTTTATCACAGAACAGCAAAAACGACTCAGCAGCCTTTCAGGTAGGTATGAAATATTCATTTACACTTTAACCCCTATTCCTGTTAAAACCATCTTCTGGTCACCACCCAGTGTTTGATCAGCAAAATTTTCTGAGCTGCTCTGGTGTGTCAGGGACTGTGTTGCTTGCTGGACTGCCAAGATATGAAAACAGGCATAGTTCCTGCCTCCCTAGAGCCCACAGGCTGGTGGACAGATCAGAGGAGTGACCCAAACTAGTAAACATGTTTCAGGGAACTGTGACAGTGCCAGGATGCGTAGGAACAGGGTGTTCTGGGTAAAGAGAACTCAGAGTTCTGTTAGATGCAGTGTTCATGGCAGGCCTCTCCAAAGAGGTCTCTTTCCTGCTGCTTCTGTCTTCCTTCTAGACTGTGATGAATCAGAAGTTGGGAAATGTGGGCAAGTTCTTTCCTTGTTGGGTGGCATGGCCAACTACCAGTAGACAGTCCTGGGGTGATGGGACCAGGTGAGAGACTAGATCAGCAGTGGCCTCAAGAGGGTGCAAAAAAACTGTTTCTTGAATTGGAGCTGGTGTCAGAAATTCCTAGAGAGCTTGTCAAAACTCAGATTCTTGGGCCGTGATGCCCCAGAGATTTGGATTTAGTGGGTGTGGGTGAATGTGCATTTCTGACCAGCTCCCAGGGATGCTGGTGCTCCCTTGGTGCTGACTGCAGGGTGAGTGGCCACTGGCTCCTCAAGGTCCCACAGTGGTGGAGTGACTACAAATGCAATCGGATGTCAAGGCTCCTCCCTGGTACAAGTAGGGTTGGGGCAGTGTTGGGTGGGTTGGGAGCCTAGGAAAGAGAGTGGTTAGCTCTTCCCTTACAGCTTCTGGTAGCCATTCTGCTTGAATCCTGGGTCTATCACTAATGTTGATGGCCCAGGTAAGTTTTCTTACCTGTCAAGTGGGGAAAGCAGCAGTGCCTCACAGGCTGTATGAAGATGAATTGGGATTTTGCTGTTAAATAGCTTGGCCCTGAGCTTCGGCACCTCTGAATGCTTAGGAGAGGTGACCGACTTACCAAGAGGCACCTTCTTGGGTCACTCACCATTTCATTGAGTGCCTCCTTCATGTCTAGCCCTGAGCTAGGCTCTAGGGCTGCAGCAGGGACCCGTGCTGCCCTGAATAGCTGACGGTGTAGTGTGATGGTTTGTAGCCGTTCATGGACTGCTTGGGATCTAGTGAAGGCCATAGATTCATTTTCCAGAAAAAGCCATACATGTCTAAGTGTGTGCACGTGATTTGCATGGACTTGCAGGTACTTATGAACTCCGGGGTTAGGAACTTCTGATTGGGTGTACAATACTAAGAACAATCATCTCTGAGTCGCTGCTACGTGATTTCTGTGACTTCATACCACTGCTATCCTTGTGATTTGTGGCAAGCCCAGGAGAGCACAGGGTTCTTACAACCTCTCAGCTTTATCAGGACTTGGCCACAGGGCTGGGACAGGCTGTGGTTGAGCTCAAGGTGCCCTTGGCTGCCCCTCCTCAAGCTGCCATTCTCCAGCCCCCTTCATTCCTTGGCCCCAGCCCAGGTTGCTGAGAACACAGTGGTTCCAAAAAGAAAAGTGGCTTCTATGGGCCCCTTCCTGCCTGTGGAAGGATGAAAGGAATGGTGAGATGGACAAAATGGTGAGACCCAGAGTTTGTTCTAGCCTCTTCCCTCTTAGAGCTGTTGGTCCCTGGGTGAATGATTTCACCTTTCTGAGCCATAGTTTCATCATGTGGGAAATGAAGGTGACAGTCCTTGCCCCTGCCTGGAGGAGGTGTCATGTGTAAGAGGAAGGAGGAGGATGCTTTGCACTCTGGAAGAGGCCATGTGAGTGTGAGGGCAGCTCCAACGTGCTGGGCGGGCTCAGGCCAGTTCCTCAGCTCTAAGATAGGCGTGCTGCTACTGCCCTCCCTGAGGGCAGTCTGGGTGGGCGCTCTCCAGGCTCTGTGCCTTGGAGCCTCCTCTGTGGGGTTTGATGCTTGATGAATCGTCCAGGAATGAAGCCTATGTGGTGTTTGGCCTCATGTGGCTCATGATCCCCTTGGGGTAACAGACAGGATAGCAAGAAAAGCTCTGGGAAGGAGGGGTTGGCATGGGGTGTCAAGAGGCCACCCCTATCTAGGGAAGTGTGTGCATTGCAGTAATCCCCAGGCAGCAGATGTGAAGGAAAGGGTGCCGTCCCACTTCCCACAAACAGGCCCCATCTGAAGTTGTCAGCAGCATCATTTGTTTTTAATTACTCTGGGTCTGGGAACCTTGAGAGCAGAATGTCCGTGATCTTCATCATCTTCTCTGAGCAGGAGGAGAGTGAACGCCCCCAAGTGCCATATGACAGACACTAGGTTGAAGTTAACCTCATCTGCCCCAGGTCACACTCAGAGGTCTCTCTGGTGGGTGGAGAGCATGCAGCAGTTGTGCTAAGGGAGACCCTGGGGACTCAGAATCCCTCTGGCAGATCCTCAGCCCATGTTGTGGTTTCCTGGGAGCATGAGAACTCGTTCCATAAAGCCGTTCTTGTCTTAACATAAGTTTATGATGATGATGCCAGGGATCAGATTTTCTGAAGCACTTATAAGCCAAAAAACTATTTAGAAATGAGCATGAAATTTGGGTGGTCACCCCATGGAGTAGAATGAGTTGTAAAACCTGACTGTGCTGATGCCATTGTCTCCCCAACTTCCCCAGTGCACAGAAGCCTCTGACTTCGTCATCACAGCTTTGCAGGTGCCCTTGAGTTCCCTCCTTTTTGCCCAAGCACAGTCCCCCACTAGCACTCTGTACTTGTCCTTTTTCAAAGACAAGAAGCTGTCCTCAGTCACGAGCAGATATTTACTAAGAACTTACTGCCAGGGCACATCTCGTCACCTCTATTCTCACCTCAGGGGCCTCACTGATGGGACTTTGGCTCCCTTGGCTTAAACCTTTTTGTCCCCTATCCTTTACCCTCACAGGTTACCTTCTGCCACCCTCCTTCCTCCATGCTGACCCCCCACTTCTGCTCACACATTCATCCCTGGCCTTGTAATCTAGCACCTACCCCCACTGCCCTCCTCAAATTGCTCCCTCAGAGTGTTCCTGTGACTTTTCTCTTGTCTAATGCTGCCACCGCCTCTGCTTCAATTTCTGGGTTTTTTGACACGTTTAACCACCCACTTGGGATTCTGCTTCCCCGGTTCAGTGGCACCTTGCTGTACTTTCCTGGTTCAGCTCCTATCCTTCGGATGACTCTCACATGTTCAGGATTCTTTTGCTTTTCAGCTCGCAACTGTGGCTTCCCTCGGTACACGATGTCAGCCCTTGGCTCTGCCTTCACTTCTCTCTGCCACTGAGCTCTGCCATCTCCTTGACATCAGCCATCGCTTTTGAGCTGATGCCTCTGAAATTGCACTCTTGTCAGGGCATCTCACCTGGTCTCCTTCCACATTTCTTTTTTTCTTTTCTTTTCTTTTTTTTTTTTTTGAGACAGAGCCTCAAGCTGTCACCCTGGGTAGAGTGCTGTGGCATCACAGCTCACAGCAACCTCCAACTACTGGGTTCAAGCGATTCTCCTGCCTCTGCCTCCCAAGTAGCTGGACTACAGGTGCCCACCATAACGCCCGGCTATTTTTTGGTTGCAGCTGTCATTGTTTGGCAGGCCCAAGCTGGATTCAAACCCTCCAGCTCAGATGTATGTGGGTGGTACCTCAGCCACTTGAGCCACAGGAGCTGGGAACCTTGCTCCACATTTCTTCTAGGGATATCCAGGCATTGCTGCTGAGTGTCTCACTTTCTTCTCAGAGTTACTATGGTCTAGAAAGCCATCTTTTCTCCCTCCCTTCCCCAACCCAGTTCCTTTTTTTTTTTTTTTGAGACTCTTCTCTGTTGCCCAGGCTAGAGTGCCATGGCTTTAGCCCAGCTCACAGCAACCTCAAACTCATGGGCTCGAGAGATCCTCTTGCCTCCCAAGTAGCTGGGACTACAGAAATCTGCTACAATGCTTGGCTGATTTTTCTATTCTTAATAGAGACAGGGTCTTGCTCTTGCTTAGGCTGCTCTCAAATTCCTGAGCTGAAGGGATCCTCCTGCCTTGTCCTCCTGGAGTGCTAGGATTACAGCCATGAGCCACTGTGCCCAGTCTTGAGTTCCTTTCTTAATTTCTCTATTTGGATGAAGCCAGACTCCCAGTTCCAAAACCTTGGTGCTATCATTGAGGGAGGCAAGACAGGATGTGTCAGAGAGGATTGCTGGCGTCACGTGGACCCTAGGCTAAGTCCCCACTTGGCCATGTTCTGGCTGTGTGACCCTATATGGATACCTTAATGCAGGCATCCTCAAACTACAGCCTGCGGGCCACATGCGGCCCACCTAAGACATTTATCCAGCCTACTGGGTGTTTTTCCTGCCGCTGCCTGTCCTGCTTAGCAGCCAACTCGTCCCGGGGCCCGCAGCCCGACCCTCCAACGGTTTGAGGAACAGTGAACTGGCCCCCTGTTTAAAAAGTTTGAGGATCCCTGCTTTAATGTCTCTTTGTTTTGGTCCTTTAATTATTAAAATAAAAAAAAGGAAAGAGGGGTGATAAGAGTTTCTTCCTTATAGAGTTATTGGGAAGCTAAAAGGAAGCAAGGTCTATGAAGAGTTGTACACAGTGCCTGGCATATAATTTGCTCAGAGCTGTTCAGAGGTCCACATATATTTGCTTAGTCTGTTTTTCTACCAGGAGTAACCTTCAGTTGTGTTCATCTGCTTGGCTTCTCTGAGAACCTGGCTTTCATCAGCCTGCATTCTCATTGCTGGCTCACTTGCTCTTCCTGCCCACCAGACTGTAAGCCTCTTGAAGACCAGGATTCTTAAAGTTCACCTGCATGTCCACAGAGCAGGGCAGGGCAGGGCAGGGCACAGTATCCTGTGATTAGTAAGTGCCTCCTCAATAAATAAATAACATGGCTTGGTGCCTGTGGCTCAAGTGGCTGAGGCACCAGCCACATACACTGAAGGTGGCAGGTTTAAATCCAGCCCGGGCCCGCCAAACAACAATGATGGCTGCAACCAAAAAATAGCCTGGCGTTGTGGCAGGCACCTGTGGTCCCAGCTACTTGGGAGGCTGAGGCAGGAGACTCGCTTGAGCCCAGGAGTTGGAGGTTGCTGTGAGCTGTGATGCCACAGCACTCTACCCAGGGGGACAGCTTGAGGCTCTGTCTCAAAAAATATAAATAAATAAATAAATAAATAAATAAATAACATGGTCAGAGTAACAGATTCTGTTATGTAATTTTATACTCACTAAATTACATCTGGTATGCTTATTAGCTCTCTATAACTTCCAGTCTTAAACCAAATTAAATAATCTGTACTGTGCACTTAGCAATGTGCAGCTTCCTGAACCTGTTGGCATAAGTTTGTCTTGGTAAGTTCCCTTAACAACACTGCCACGAATGTGCCAGCGGAAGCATCATCCCTACTTTTAGATAAGAAAACTGAGGCACAGAAAAGTTAAGTGACTTCCCCAAGAGAAAACAAAAATTTTCGAGTCCTATTTTATTGCCTCCTTATGATTCTATCTGCTCCCTCAATTTCTAGAACAGTCAGAACTACTCAGATGGCCAGAGCACCACATGCACACTTCTGCATGGCACTTTCACACTGTCAGGAAACTATTTTTTAAAGGGCTAAAAGGATGGTAAATATTTTAGGCTTTGCAGGCCCTATGGTTTCTGTCACAGCTACTCAGCTCAGACATGGCAGGATAAAAGCAGCCATAAATAATATGTAAATGAATCAGTGTGGCTTTGTTCCAGTAAAACTCCACTTACAAAAACAGGTGGCGGGCTGTAGTTTGCTGACCACTGCTTTAAGTGGAACTAGTTCCAGTTGAGAATTTGCAAACACATTTTCCCCCAGCTGGACTGTTCAGACCTTTTTTGCTTTCATGCTACCAGAAGAGCTTCAGCTAACAATTGCTTTTTATTTCTAGACTCTGTCTCAGAAAGAAGAGTGGGAGAGCAGGACTCGGCACCAACCCAGGAAAAACCCACCTCACCTGGCAGGGCTGCTGAAAAGAAAGCAAAGGATAACAGTAGGCGGGTGGTTAAGAGCACTCAGGACCTGAGCGATGTTTCCATGGATGAAGTGGGCATCCCACTCCGGGTATGGATACTGGAGTCCTTTTTAGTTTTCATTGTAAGCAAGCCATGACAAGTGTATACTCTGAGTCTGTGTGAACCTTGTCTGTGGGTACAGAAGCCTTATAGGGAGGGCCCTCGAGTGTCAGAGCCCTCAGGAGCTGTGCTCCAGACTTGGTGCATGCAGCTTTTCCAAAGCAGGTGTTGGGTGTGATAGGCCTCAGGAATAAAGGGTTTCGTGGCCAAAATATGAGGAAGAGCTGGGTGCTACCGAGAGACATTTCTCTGCTGCAGAACTTCTAGGATGCTTCCGGTAAGGGAGTGTTCAAGAGATAATGTTATGGACTGTTTTCCTTCATTATTGTTGTGTGGAGCAGGTGAGACATTCTTGGTTCAGGATTGGAAAACCCTGTGGAGAGTACGAGGCCCCTGGGTCTCTCTTTGGGGGTTTGGAAAGATCTCCCTGGATGGAAAATGCATAGGAAACTCTAAGAAAAACTCAGAAGGGACTGAGCTAGCCACGCTAGGAAAACTCAGAAGGGACTGAGGACAGAGCCAGTCTCTCAGTAGTCCTGCTCCACTCTCCCCTGCAGGCCCTAAGGAATTCCAGGGAAGCCCAACTTTGGGGCCTGGCTTTGGGTGAATTCTCTTCCTCTCCATGTGTCCCCCAGACAGCGGGTACTATATATTCTTCTGTGATTTTCATTTAGCAAATGTGCCCTTTTGGAGGAGGTTAATAGAGCTATGGGCTAAGCACGAAAATAACTCTTTTTCTGGTCCTAGGTGGTAATACAGGGGGAGAATTATTAAGAGTAATTGCAGCTACCATTTGCTGAGTACACCATCTCATTAAAACATCACTCACCTGAGTGAGTGGTTGATACTAATATCATTTTGCACTTTATAGATGAGGAAACGGGCTTAGAGGGATTGCATTATCTGCCCAACTTGTGTGTGACAGTGGTCTACCCAACTCCCAAACCGCACCCCTCACCATCGTGTCAAACTGGGTACCTTCCTCACCAGCTCTGTGACCTCAGATGATTCACTTTGTTGTTCTGTATCTCATTTCCTCATCTGTAAAGTGGGAGTGAAAATATCTGCCCTAACCACCTATCTGTCACCTTCCTTATTTTATTTTTATCAAAAAAAAAAAAAAACCATCCCAACTTTGTGGGTAGGATGAGAACTCTGGCACTGAATGCTATAATGGGTTATGTTTTAATGTATGCATTCTAAATCTGGCCCTGTGCAAGGTGACTTAGATACATTTCTACAGAACGTAGAATGTGTCCTGAGTGGTGACATAGCATATAAGCAAGAATTCTTTGTCTTTTATGTTTGGCATCTGTATATGGAGAGAGATTCTCTCTAAAAATGAAATTTTAAAAAATTAAAAATGAGCACATTTCAAGTGGATCCTTGTCCACTATTTTAAAAATCCGTATCCTAGCTTGGTGCCTATAGCTCAGCAACTAGGGTGCCAGCCATATATACTGGAGCTGGTATTTTCGAATCTGGCCCAGGCCTGCCAAACAGCAATGACAACTATAAAAAAAAAAATATCCAGGCGTTGTGGCAAGCACCTGTAGTCCCAGCTAATCCAGAGGCTTGAGGCAAGAGAATTGCTTAAGCCCAAGAGTTTGAGGTTACTGTGAGCTGTGATGCTATAGCACTCTACTGAAGGCAACATAGTGAGACTCTGTCTCAAAAAAAAAAAACAAAAAAACTTCATCCTTTTGGCCAAATATCACACCACAGATTGAGTCTAAATCTCTTAGTTTGTTCTTTCTCAAAAGTTTTGCCTTTTTCGAAGACATATAAATGTGATTGAGTTTTTCATTCAAATGTCACTTTCTTTCCCATTTGATTTTTATTCTGTAATCATTTTAGGTCTGAAACATGCCAAGATTTCCATTTTAATTAACTCTTTGCCTTTATTTTTCTCCAGAACACCGAGAGATCAAAAGATTGGTACAAGACTATGTTTAAGCAGATCCACAAACTAAACAGAGGTACTGATTTTTATTTGTAGAAACTGTGCTGTGCTGTGTGCCCATATCGTGACTATTGTGGTGTGGCCCTGAACTCATTTTCTAGGGCACTAGAGGGCGACCCCATTAGGTACTGGTCTGCCTGAGCCCTGCCATGAGCCTTCAGAGTGCAGGAGGGAGGGGACACTGAAGTCCTCCCTCCCAGGGGCTGTGGAATGCAGCAGGCTGAGCCCCACACTCTGCCTGTGTACCAGCATCAGTCTGCCTGGAATGTGAGCAGCACCAGCTCCCACCTGCTTCTAGCTTTTAAGGCCATCATCCTGTGTCGGCTCATGACTGTTTTATGGGCAGAGTGAATTGAGAAAGCACTGAGCTGGGAATTAAGAAAACCTTTCTCACCTAGACTCAATCCTCCACTTACTGATGGGCCCCTGGGGCCAATCCCAGGGCTAAATGACACATTTGGCCTTGGGAAGTACAACATATAGTGCGCCTCTAAGGCTATGTTAATATGGAAGGGGACCTTCCCCAGCTGGGAGCCAGTCCTTGGCAGGTAGCCCTGAGATTCAGTCAAGAGCTGCCACACTAGAGCCTGCTCAGGCTGAAAGAGAAGAGCTTTCAAATCAGAGGCCTGCTCAGCTATCAGCCAGTGGCCCAGCATGGTAGGAGAAACCCAGGCCAGTGCTTGGACAGGTCATGATGCCACCAGCTCTCATTGCTGCCTGTGCCACCAGCCCCACTCAGAGGCAGGGATGTGACTGCACTGTGGGAAGGGCATCACCCTTTCTGTGGGCAGAGAGAGCGCCCTGCCCTTCCCTGTGCCCAAATCCAGTCTGGCCGCCTGGCATGGATGACACATGAAAGCAAAGAAATCTTTGTGTCTGGGCAGTGTTCCACCGGAGTAAGCCCAGTCTCTGATTAGCTGTAGATGCTACTAACATCACTGTTAATTAACTCCTGCTGGATTTGAAATGAACCTGGGCACACCCCTCTAGACTGAGTGTTTAGCATTTCTGAGTCAAGAGTAAACCACTGTGGCTGGGTGGCTGAGCTCCGTCACAGTAGTAGTTCTAAATGCTCGGATCTCTGTGATTAGATGGGATCTGATCCACTGATCACTTCCTAAAGCTGCTGTCCATTTCCTTAAATGATGTGTGACTCTCACCTTCAGACCTAGCTTTGGAAACGTAAATGCAGAGACACAGACATATGTATACATGCAAAATAATGTAATTCTCCCCCACACCTTTTCTCATAGTTACTAATCTAAATTACATGCTCTAAACAAAACTATCTGACTTACTGGTAGGCAGAGGTATTTTAAAAACTATGAATCCTCAATTGTTTTCCTCAATTCTAATGTCTGCAACACAAGCTTTGTTAAAAAAATTATTTTAGGATGGCGTTTTATTACATACTATTGGTTATCATACTTAATATTTCTTACCTATAAAAAGTGAAAACTTGAAGCTTTGTCCTAAGGTTAAGGACACAACCATTAGGCCTGTTGGTGCCTGTTTATGTGTAGGTCCTTGTCCGTGAGGAGTATTGATATTGTCTTGTTTGATGTGTCTCAGTAATTCAGGCGAAAGGACTGGATTTTTAAAAGCAGTTTGAATTTCTTTCATGTCACCAAGGAACCTAAACTGTATGTGGAAGCTACTCGTTCATTCTCTCCATTTGTATCTTCCTCTATTTTCTCTCTTAAACCTGCTCCTCTGCCTAGACACTCCTGAAGAAAACCCTTATTTCCCTACGTACAAATTCCCTGAACTTCCTGAAATCCAGCAAACTTCTGAAGGTACCATAAACTTAGACAGTCTTATCTGTTGCCCTAGCTTTAAATTATCTTATAGTTCCATTGTAGGCATAAGATTTGGCTTTTAGATTTTGTTTTCATAGTTGTTTTTGGCTGGTGAATATTTTATTTCACTTATTTGCATGATGTGCTGTATTAAAATAACTAAGCCCTTTCTAATTCATTAATCTATTTTCAAGTTTGATGCCCGTGTGCTTTAATAACACTAAAATAGGTAATCGATCATTGGAAAGAGTCAATTGGGGATCTGTTAGTTCCTCCACTTCATGGTGGATGGTTTCAAAATCCACTGCTTTTCTCTGCTACAGAGGACAATCCTTACACTCCTACCTACCAGTTTCCTGCATCTACTCCTAGTCCTAAGTCTGAAGGTAATTAAAGGAAAACTGTGTGCCTCTCTTTGTACTGGTGCTGTTACTTTCTTTTTCACCTTGGGGTTTTTTCCTTGTGGCTATGGGCTGTCTCCCAATCATTTGCTTCCCTCTAACGTCCGTGTTTTGTGGTGGTGTCTTACTCCTAGCTGACTAAATAACCAAAGTCTGTACAAATGGCATTTTAATCCTGTTCCCTTAGGGTTTATATGATTAATGAAGTAGCCAGCATAGCTTAGTTATAACACTTTGTACATGTGGGGCTCTGGGCAAAGCTGCCTGTACCCAACCACCCAGGGCTTTGTATCTGGGTGGTCATCTAATGTTGATGGTTGGGCGGTGACTCAGGGAAGCTGAGTCATTATGGTGGATGAGTAGGTCTCCTGCTGGCTCTCAATACAAAAAAAATTACCAGGTTCTTATTCCTGCAGCTAACTTTACATCACTAGGCCCCTCTTGTCATGGTCTCTCAGGGTGTCTATTTTTGGTAGGGAATTCCTGAAGAGTTATCCAGGTGTAAGATTTAGTCATGGTGGGAGAAGATCCCTCTTGAAAATAAGGGTTTTGGCCAGGCTGAAAAATATTTTATGAAAAAGCCGGATAGGAGTTGGCACCTGCTAGGGAAGACAACCACATTTATATCTAAGAGATACTCTTTTCTGGGGCAAAAATTCTAGGTGTCAAAGCACTTTCTAAAAGGTGAGTTAAGGGCAGCATCTTGAGAATTATCCTCATAGCAAGGATTATCTGTTCTTTGGATGAGTGAGCCAGAGAAGTGGATAGGGCAGGAGTTCTCAGCCTGTGGGTCGTGACCCCTTTGTAATGAGGAAAATACATTGCAGCTTTAGGAAGGTTGAGAACCACTGGTATAGAGGAAGAACTTGTGTTAAATGCTCTTCTAGGGTGAGATATTGAGTGCTTAAACTTTATTCATTTATCCAAGTACAATTGAGCACTTTCTGTGTGCCATGCCTTAGAACTGAGGGTAATGCTGTGAATAAGACAAGTCCCCGTCCTCAGAAATTCACATCTGCCATGGATTGGGCAAGTCTACTGTAGCATGCTGTGTCCAGTGTGGGGGACAGTTGTGACAGCATCTGTCCAGAAGGCCAAAGGAAACCTTGCTGGCATATAATAGATCCTCAGTAGCACCTGGAGAAGGTTGATGAGTAAAGAAAGGTTTGGACCATGGAGCCGGAGTTCTCTTGTAGCACTCAGTGGTGCTCTGCTCTCATCAGCTCAGCAAATTGATGTCCCTCACAGCCCATCTCATCATTAACAAAGTCACTCATTGATCATTCACCAAGTTCTTGCCAATCACTTACCGTACATGAGATGACACATATGGTGTGTTAGATGCAGTATTAGTTAAGATATCATAGTCCATTTTTGGTCTTCCTTTTATGTCCCCTAGTCAGTGGTTTCCAACCTTTTCATGTTTGGGGTCTATTTTGAATGCAATGAAAAGAAAAGCCTGAAAAAGTCCCAGACTTTCAGAACTAAAAGCTGATGATTGAATGCAGATCAGTGCCCACCTCATTGCTAACAAGAGCCTGTTTGGTGCGGAGAGCATAAGCCTACTGTGTTAGGGTGCTGATTCTACCCAAAAACCTTGTAGAAACAATTGACTGAGTTGGATGAGGGAGAAGCTTTTTGAGGGTAAGTTTGACTAATTTCAATTTTTGATTTGTGCTTTATTTGATCTTCGAAATCTAACCCCCTCGTAGAGTTCTCTTCTAAGATAAGTGGACAAGCACAGAGCATGATAAGGCACATTGTTCCACAGACATGGACAGAGGAAGGCCCACTAAGAGGCGTCCTGCAGAAAGGCACAGGAGCTCCCATGGGACCAGAAGATTGCCTTAGGCCTGGGGCAAGCAGTGCCCATAGCTTCCATGGGTCAGCCTGGCTGTTGGTCTGAAGATAGGGTTTCCTGGCTTCACTCCCAGAGCTCCCATGTCATGAGCCACCACACCTAGCAACCCCAACTGACAACAGTGTCTGCTCTTTGGTACATATGAAATCCAGCGCAAGAGGGAATTGGGTCTATTTTTCTTAGAGACATAACCAGTAAGAGCTCACATGACAACTTGTCACATATAATTTAGAAGCAGACCTTGCCATTTTTCATTTTCAAAGACCGAAATGGAAGAAATAGTCTTTTTTTTTTTTTTTTGAGACAGAGCCTCAAGCTGTCCCCCTGGGTAGAGTGCCATGGCATTACAGCTCATAGCAACCTCCAACTCCTGGGCTCAAGCGAGTCTCCTGCCTCAGCCTCCCAAGTTGCTGGGACCACAGGCGCCCGCCACAACGCCCGGCTATTTTTTGGTTGCAGCCATTATTGTTGTTTGGCGGGTCCGGGCTGGGGATTCGAACCCGCCACCTTAGGTGTACGTGGCTGGCGCCTTAGCCGGTTGAGCTATAGGCGCCGAGCCAAGAAATAGTCTTAAGGAATAAAAAGGAAAAGATTAGGTTGGACATACATTTATAACAAATGTGATTAGACTTTTAACACACATAGCTTCCATCTCACAACCTCACTCCTGCCTGGATGACATATCTAGGCATGGATCACTGATATATTCAGTTAGATCAAAGCTTTAAATGAGGGAAATGTTTGAGCCAGATCATCTTTAAGAATCATTGCGTTTTGCTTTCGGTTTTGTGTATGTGTGTGTTTTGAATTTAAAGAGATTCTCTGGATTTCTGGGTCTAAAACATAATTGTTTTGATCTTGTGTGTGAGCTCCCGCAGGTCCTCCTCAGCCCTGTCCTTGGTGCTGCTCCAACTCCATGTTTGGGTTAGGTGTCCCTGACCTCCACACACACCCTTCTGAATGTAGGAAAGATTTATGCCTTTCAAAGAAAGGTGTTCAAGACGGCTCACCTAATGGGGGCTCCACCCACAGATGTTAATGTATGTTAAGAAAGAGATAACTTCACTGGGAAATCTGAGTCATCATTCCAGAGTGTATCTCCTAGAGAGAAAGTTGTTTTTGCTGCTGTTTTGTTTTGTTTTGTTTTAATTCAGAATCTGGAACTAGAATTATTTGTAATAAACCTATCAAAGCCTAGCCTCAGGGCTGCTGTCTAAATTCTGGTTGTTTATACAGTATAAAAAATATATTTTTAAATATCCCAAAGCTGAGTCTCCTAAATAGTAAGGGACTATGTGAAAGTTTGTTTATGCTGGCTTAGCAGCTGCCTTCCTCCCTCCCCCTCAGCTGCATTGAAAAAACAAACTTCTGGACTGACTTTTAGAATATAAATAGAATTATCATGTCTTAACCAATAAAGTTCAAAATGTACTTTTATAAAAAAAAAAAACTTCATAAATTCCAACAAAGAACAGTCACCTTTAATCATTTAATAATCTTTGAGACTATTCTGGATGGGACAGGATAGATGTTACGTGTAATCGTGCTTTGTTTCATGACATGGGAGTGAGAGGGACAAGCTGTCTCCCCTTCCTCACCCTCCTGCTTTAAGGTATGGTGTGTCAGCACCTTAGCCACTCACAGGTGGAATCCTATTTATAACAATAATGGAACCATCACTGAGACTGAGGCAGAGAATTGCCTAAGCCCAGGAGCTGGAGATTGCTGTGAGCTGTGATGCCATAGCACTCTACCAAGGGTGACAAAGTGAGACTCTGTCTCTAAAAAAAGAAAAAAAAAAGAGCAATGAAGATACTTTCAAATAATGCCTTCGAATCTGCAGCAAAGCCGTGTAACTGGTATGTTACTTCATGGTGTATAGATCCTGTTGGGGTGGGGGCTGTTGTCAGAGGTGAGGTCTCAGAGGCCAGCGTTTGTCCTCGCTTTTGGATGCTTCTTTCACCACTTTAGGTCAGTGGTGGCTGCTGCCATTTCTTGGTGATTGACTGAGAACATAACCTCTAGGCATCCCCAGGCTGTGGTGTCAAAGTGCTCTGACCTCATTCCTAGATGAAATTGTACCAAGGCAAGGATTTAAGAAGACTGATTTTCTCAGGCACATCTGTAGTCGAGTTAAAATGATACTCTACTGGTTTTACAGGATTTCTAAGAATAGCCCTATTTCACTTAAGTTGAAGCAAATAGTTCTATTGTGAAGATGCTTGGCCAGGATCTGTGCCTCCTGCCCCAAACTCCAGCTAGCACTGCCCAGAGGAGGGGCTATGTAGTCGTCACCTTTGCTCCCCTAAGGAGAGCTGCCCAGGAGGGCTCCGCCTAGCAAGTGCAAAAGTCTTTGTGCTGCGGGATAGTTAAGATACAGTGGCAGTTATTCCCTTTCCACCAGGAATCCAACAGGAGTTGAGGACGGTGAGTCTTTTTCCAGCCCTTTGGTCCTCCCAGATTTTCTCCTTTCACTTTTGTCTTGCTCTGCTTTATTCTCTTCCTCAGGAGTCTATTTTTGTTTTCTGAGTATGTCTTCCACAGCTGCTCCATACCCTATCCTGGAATTTTTCATTCCTTAAAACTTAATTTTCTTAAACCAGCACATAGACAGCCTAGTGACCCTTCCCCGACACCGCCTGGATGTCCTGACATCCCTGGCCCTCTGGCTTATCCCTCCTGTCCCATCTCATCAGGGCTCTGTGCCCAACTCTGCCTGTGTCCCTCTGTCTTTCATTGCTTCTGTTTGTGGGAGGTATGTATGCGTTCTCTCCTCTCCTTTCTCTCCCTAAGTGTGTGGGGGAAAGCCAGAGAAGGAATCATGCTGAGCTATTAGAGGTGTTTTGAAAAAATGAGCCATTAATATTAGAAAAATCATTTTAAGTTTTAAGGCCTATGGAATGCTTAAAAGTGGAATTTAATTGACATAGGTAATTGGTTATGCAAATACTGCTTTTTGCCCATTCCGTTTTAGTCAGTCACTTTTTTTTTGTTTGTTTGTTTTTTGAGACAGAATTTCACTCAGTCACCCTGGCTAGAGTGCCATGGCCTCAGCCTATCTCACAGCAACCTTTTGGGCTCAAGGAGCCCTCCTGCTTCAGCCTCCTGAATAGCTGGGACTACAGGCGCCTACCATGAGGCCCAGATAATATTTCTATTTTTAAGCAGAGAAGGGGTCTCACTCTTGCTCAGGCTGATCTCGAGCTGAGCTCAAGTGATCCTCCCACCTCATCCTCCTGAAGTGTTAGGATTATGGGTGTGAACCACTAGTCCTGGCCACAGTCACATAGTTTTTGTATAGAACAATTTTCACCAGCACTTTGGCCAGTTTTTTTTTTTTTTTTTTATGATTTTTATAAATTCTTAAAAAAAAACCAACAAGATAAATCATCATTTGGAAGCTCATTTAAAGAGACTATAGTTGTGGCTCCTGGCAGGTTTAGGAAATAGCTGTCCCCAAAATGAGTTACCAAGGACATGTTCCAAAAGCCCAGTGGAGAATCATTGGTATGTAAACCTCAGAGCCCAGCAGGGGCCTTCAGGGCCCTTAGTGAGTTTGGTCAGCCTGTGTAAATCCTGCTTAATGTTGGCACTTCCTGGAAATCACTGGCATGGGAAGTTCTGAGTGTTGCTGCCAAGGATTGACGTCTGATGTGGTGCTCTGAGGGGCACAATTAGTGTGTGGTTCTACCATGAACAGAAATCACAGTATCTCTGCAGAGCTATCTCACTATAGTGTTATTTTAAAGAGCCCTTGGAGAAATAGTGAGGGTAGGGTTTCAGATGCTAGTTCATAGACAACTGGAAAAACGCTTCATTTAACATGCCTTAACTGTGGTTGCATGTGTACTCATGCACACATTCCATTTGGCTAGCTCTAGTGTATAAAAATGCACAGGGGTGCTTCTCACACCCGGTTTTACCATTCCTTGGTATTCCCTAGAGCCTACCCATCTTCCCCAGTGTGGACTTGGCCTACCAGGAGGTGGTAGCAAGGAGCAACAAGGGGGAAAATGTGGCACGAGTGACTCAGGGTCACCCCTTTCCTGAAGACTAGCAGGAGGAAAACTAGAAATGTGGTAGGGTAACTCAGAACACTTGCTTAAGTGTCAACCAGGGTGGGGTGATGCAGAAAAATAGAGCAAAGGCTTCAGGAACTAGAAAGTGGCCTGCCCAGCAGCACAGTACATGAGTTTCAAGACCTTCTCTGCTTCTTCTGTAATGAAAATGATAATGGAATAACCACAATATTTCAACTGTCCTAGGATTGAGGAGATGAAGCTGGGGTGAAAGCTGAAAGACAGCAGGCATCCCTGTCACAGGGCTGAAGTGATACAGGGAAGTGGAGTCAGAAAGAACTTGAGTCCATTCCTGCTTTGTCTCTTTCTCACTCTGCAGCCAAGGGCACATTTTCTTAACCTGCTTGGGCTTGTCTTTCTTTGTCTATAAAATGAGATATTCCTGGAGTTTTTAAGTGAAATGATATTAGTAAATCACCAGCTATTATTAGGTACTTTATAATGAGAGCTACTATTACTATTTTTATTCGTAAACTAAAATAAAATTTACTGCCAATTAGATTTGTAAGACAAGCATTAAAAGTTAAAAGAACAAATTATATATCCCTAGAACTTGTCCTAATTGCTAAAGTTATTCAGACGAATCCATACAACTTTAGTTTGCCCTCTTAAAAGTCCATAAATTGAAACTGGTGCCTCTAATTCTAGCACTTGGGGACACCTAGGCAGGAGAATCACTTGATTGAGCTCAGGAGTTCAAGACCAGCCTGAGCAAGAGCAAGACCCTATCTGGACTTAAAATAAAAAACTTAGCTGGGTGTTGTGGCCGGGAGTAAGACCCCATCTCTACTTAAAATAAAAATATTAGCTGGGCATTGTGGCAGGCACCTGTAGTCCCAGCTATTGGGAGGCTGAAGCAAGAGGACTAACTCGAACTCAGGAGTGCGAGGTTGTTGTGAGCTAGGCTAATGCCACAGCACTCTAGCCTAGGGCAACAGAGTAAGACTCTGTCTCAAAAAGAGAAAAGACTCCATAAGTTGAAATCCACATGTCAGATCCCATGGACACTATGAGAAATGGAGTACTTGTTCACAGAGACTCCACTGCCCTGTGTTGGTCTAGAGTGGGTGGGTGAGATTTCTTTTTCCATCTATAGCAAAAACGAAAGGAGCGTCGTGGGCATTCAGTCATTCAGACTTCTCTGTTGCCTGCACCCCCAACTTTCCTACTTTTCCCTCCCTTTTTCAAAGTACCTAAATTGTTCAACTTTCTAAGTAGTGCTATTTTTTCCCCCATTTCATAAGAATTATTTCTCATTTTCTTCTAATAAACCTTCTAGAATTTCACATTAGACAGCTCTAGGGAGAAACATTTTTTTTATAGAGCTCAGGCTCAAAAAAAAAATCTTTGAATATTTAAATCCTCCTTTACCCCTACCCCCCAACCCCCTGCAAAAACTTTGCATCTCACCTCATGAACCAGGTAATAGTTAGAAATTAACATTGACGTCATCATTTACAGATAGGCTGCAATTTCTCCTTGATTCAGAGAGGTTCAGGGTTTTGAGCTGAAATACTAAGCTGCATTTTATGCAGTATATATATCAGTTTTTGCCTAAGCTAACTTTTTATTTAGGGTAGGCACCATTTTTTTCTAATCAAATCTCTGCAATCAAAGCTGATTTTTAGGTTTCTTTGAGGACATGGCATTTTATCAGTACGATAATCAGAAGTTCTGTTTAAAAAATTTTTAAAAAGCAGGCTCAGCACCCATAGCTCAGTGGCTTGGGTGCCAGCTACATACACCGAAGCTGGCAGGTTTGAACCCAGCCTGGGCCTGCCAAACAACAACAAAAATAGCTGGGTGTTGTGGTGGGTGTCTATAGTCCCAGCTACTTGGGAGGCTGGGGCAAGAGAATTGCTTAAGCCCAAGAAGTTGCTGTGAGCTGTGATGCCACGGCACTCTATCCAGGTGTCTCCAAAAAAAAAAAAAAAAAAAGCAAACGCAAAACTAGCAACATACAATTCTTCCAAACAGGCTTTCAGAGAACCTATTTATGGATCCCATTTTATCTCCTTCCCCAGCCCTATTTTCAGAAGTTAACTTAAGCTTATGTGCTCAATTTATAATACTGAAAGACTTGGCTGTGGTGGTAGAAGAACCTTAAGCCCTATTCAACCTTGGTGTTGATTAATTCTTATCCATAAAAATGAAAGAGAGGGAAGGAGGAGGAGGGTACATTGGTACCCAAGGCCTGTCCCTTATGTTAAGGGAGACTTGGAACAGACAAAAATGGGAAAAGAGGGGAGGGGACAAAAAGCGGGAATAGGTTGTCTGAATAATGCTTTGCTCAAAATAATAGCCATGGTAGCTGTGTTTACATTTCATAAAATATTCTGCCCTTGGTGGTCTGAAACTTAAAATCATTTGTGTAGATAGAAACTAGGGCTCGAATAACAATTAGTTGTTAACATATTATATTGGATTCTTTGCCTTGTCTTCAAAGGTTAGTTCATGTGCTTTACTAAAGCTATTATGGATTTTAAGGGAAAGAATTGGGTCTTCATTCCATTTACATGAATTTTGAATTCAGATTAGCAAGATATTAGAAACTGAGCCAGGTACAATGGCTCACGCCTATAATCTTAGCACTCTGGGAGGCAGTGGTAAGTGGATTGCCTGACTCAGGAGTTCAAGACCAGCGTGAGCAAGAGTAAGACCCTGTCTCTACTAACAATAGAAAAAGTAGCCGGGCATTGTGATGAGTGCCTGTAGTCCCAGCTACTTGGGAGGATGAGGCAAGAGTATCATCTGAACCCAAGAGTTTGAGGTTGCTGTGAGCTGTGATCCACAACATTCTACCCAGGGTGACAAAGTGAGACTTGGTATAGTGAGACAGAAAAAAAGAAAAGAAAAAAAAAATGGAAAAGCTGTTTCGGAATCTTTTTGGAGTATCACTTTGGAGGGATCATCATGGATATAGTGACTAACCTGGATTTTCAGGACAGTTCAACTTTAGAAGTCTGTTCCCATAAGCATGCCTATGGTCTTGAGTTTTAGTTCAGAAAATACAGCCACTTCCATGAGGGCTTCAGATCTTGTCCTGCTTCTTCGAGTTTCAGAGCTCCCGTGGTCAGCTTATTTAGGGGTATTTGTCAAGCTCATGGAGAGCCTTCACCCTCCACAGAAACTCATGGGGATGTGAGTTTGCTTTATTCCGAAGTCACAGTTTAGATGCTTACCTGGGTGGTGCCTTTGCTGTTATGGTACAACCATACACCTGTGGGTATGTTGTGTTCCAAGGAAAGAAATACACTCAGGGAACAGGCTGTGGTGGAATCAAAACAAATTTCTATGAAGGTTTTCTCAAACTCTTTTTAGTTGCAGAATTTCTGTTAATGATGTTGTATATGGAAGCTTAAAATAAAACAGCTCAAAGCTGAGGTGGGGAGCTAGTACACACCCCTGGGCCTCTTCCCAACCCGGAGCATTCTGCACATCCTGGGAAAAGGGCTCTCAAGACTCCATGGGACCCAGTGGGCTAGATCAGGGGCAGCAGGGGTCCATCTCAGGCAGACGTGGACCCTGCATTCCAGCTTTGGTGGGAGAGAGTCTCCTGAGTGGCCTTTGGCTATTTGTCCTCATGCATTTCTTGGTATCAGGCAACAGTCATCCAGCTGGTGTTGTGAGTGTCCTGCCGACACTGCAGGTGGTTGAGTAGATGCTGTGAACCTTGCTCTTCTCAAACGCGGTCTGCTGTGGCATAGTTTCCAGCGCTTGCTGCCTCCTCCCTCCGCTGGGTTCCCTGGTGGGGCTGGATGCTGGTGCCAACTATGAAGGGGAGCATGTGCAACTGGGTTCTCCTACCTGAGCCAGATTTCTCCTCACTGTGTTTTGTTTTGTTCAATAGATGATGATTCAGATCTGTACTCTCCTCGATACTCTTTTTCTGAAGACAGTAAGTAGCTTCTAATTTCCTGGTTGTGGGGGAGGGAGGGAAGGTGGTAGATGAGGATAGATACCATCTTGTTTTCAGTTTTCATCACTTTGAACTTGTTTGTATGAATTGTATTTCTGCAGCAAAAACTCCCCTTTCTGTGCCTCGTTCAAAAAGTGAGATGAGCTGTATTGATGGTGAGAAGGTAGTTAAGAGGTCAGCCACACTCCCCCTCCCGGCCCGCTCTTCCTCACTGAAGTCCAGCCCCGAAAGGTAAGTGCCCCCTTGTCCCCTGTTACCAGCCAAGGCCTGGTCAGTGTTCATCGACACCTAGGAGCCTCCATTCTTAGCAATGTAGAATTTGAGTCCCTGCTCTGTCACCTGTTACTGGTGACTTACTCTTTCTGAGTCTCACCTGTAAAATGGGGATAAAAATGGCACAGCTCCTCCATGGAGATACTGCAAGGATAAAATGAGATAATACAGCATTCCTAGCAGTGCCTGGCTCATAGCTTGGGCTTACTTAATGTTGACCGTACTTACAACTTGTTAAGAATATCACCAGTCTTAGCTGCACGATTTGTCCTGTTTTCATATTCTGTGTGCATACTGTGTTCACATACACAAAGACTGTAATTTTAAAATGAACATACTTTTTAATGTCCACTTAATCATGCGACATGTATTACTGAGACTTGTTCTAATGGCAACATTAGTCATCTCTAGTACCTGTACTAAATAACCCGATTTTCTTTTTCTGCAGTTTTTAATCTCTAAAAATGCCCTATGGAGCAAACTTCTTAGGCTATTTGAACAAGTGTCCCATCATTTTCCAGCCCCGACTTCCCTCACTTCTCAACACCCAAAAGGCTCTGAGCCAACAAAATTGTTTGTTTTTCCCTTAAATACATATCCAGTTTCACACCTCTACACCTTTTCCATCTTGATAGACAAAACATGAAATGGCTGTTTTAAAAACACCACACATACTTAAGTGGTGTTTCCCTATGGAATTTAATAATTAATTTGAAAGGAAAGCTGTATGCATTTATAGGTGCATTCATTAAGCACCTTCTGGGTGCATTCTATGCTGATTAAACTATTATTCTTGTTATAGAAGAATATACAAATATGTAAATTACTATCTCTGTCTTTAAGAAGTTTATAACTTACATAAAAAACTAAATGCAATCATAAGGCACCTGGAAAAAAAATTGCAAAGAGGGCTGAATATTGTGGCGCATGGCTGTAATTGGGGTCCTCAAATTTTTTAAACAGGGTTCCAGTTCACTGTCCCTCAGACTGTTGGAGGGCCAGACTGCAGGCCCCAGAATGAGTTGGCTGCTAAGCAGGACAGGCAGCGGCAGCAAAAACACCTGGTGGGCCGAATAAATGTCCTAGGCGGGCTGCATGTGGCCCCCAGGCTGTAGTTTGGGGATGCCTATTCTAGCACTTTGGGAGGTCAAGGCAGGTACATTGCTTGAGGCCAGTATTTTGAGAGCAGCCTGGGCAACATAGCAAGACCTTATCTCTACCAAAAAAAAAAATTAACTTGGTGTGATAGCCTGTGTCTAAAGTCTAGCTACATAGGAGGCAGAGGTAGGAGAACAGCTTGAACCCAGGAGTTTGAGGCTGAGCTATGTGAGCTATGATTGTGTCACTGCACTCTAGCCTGGGCAACAGAGTGAGACCCTGACTCAAAAAAAACAAATAAAAAAACAGGATTGGCGCCCATAGCACAATGGTTACACTGCCAGCCACATATACTGAGGCTGGCAGGTTCGAACCTGGCCAAGGCCAGCTAAACAACAATGACAACTGCAACAACAACAAAAAAATAGCCGGGTGTTATGGCAGACACCTGTAGTTCTAGCTACTTAGGAGGCTGAGGCAAGAGAATCACTTAAGCCCAAGAGCTGGAGGTTGCTGTGAGCTGTGACACCATGGTACTCTACCCCAAGTGATATAGTGAGACTATCTCAAAAAATAAATAAAGAAAAATAATAAAAAAAGAAAAACACACAATTGTATAATTTCCGAGGAGTCATGTATCCTCTGAAACCCATTGCTGGATGCCAGATTAAGTATCTGTGCCAAAGGCTGAGATTGGTGGGTAGTGTAGTGGGGTGTGGGATAGGGAAGAATACTATTATACATGTAGTTAGTGACATTTATTGAGTGGTGACTATGGGCTTAGTGCTCTGCTCAGAGATTTATAGGCACTATCTCATTTAGTCCTTGTAACAACTGCATCTTTCAGATGAGGAAACTGAGGTACTGAGAGGTATAGTGCTTGTCTCTAACTATCCAGTTAGCAAGTGATGTAGTAGGGATTCGAACCACAGTCAAATGGCTCCAGGACCAGTGTTCTCTCTCGTGGCACTAGCACGAGTGGGAAGTATAGGCATGTTTGGGGAATGAGAAGCTCATGAGAGCCGAGCAAGGTGGAGGGTTTTCCTGAGCCAGCTTTGCTGCTTCCTCCTCCCTCCCTGCTTCTTCCTCTTCTCTCTGCTTCCCAGCATCTGGTTTGAGCAGAGGACACCTCAAGCCCTTTGTGATGTTAACACAGATTTATGTGCTTTGAGAACTAAATTTTTCAGCACAACTAAATTATTCACTCTGATTTTACACTTTGGATATAAAAAATTTCTTGATGAGACTGTAGCTAACAACAGTCAGACTGTGTCAGAAGGTAATGCCAATTTTCATGAAAGTAGCTCTAATAGGATTTTTATTTTTTTTCCTACAGAAACGACTGGGAGCCCCCAGATAAGAAAGTGGATACGAGAAAATACCGTGCAGAGCCCAAAAGCATTTATGAATATCAGCCTGGCAAGTCTTCTGTTCTGACCAACGAAAAGATGGTAATGTGCACATTAAAGTTCTTTGGTCTCCCCTGCCTGTGTTCTTTAATCCAGAGGCATAATGCAGACAGTTGGACTGTACTCTTTTTCCCCTTGAGATAGACTTGCTTTGTTTAGAAGACAATGAAAAAATGAAGTATTTTTCCCCTTTGCATTTTTGCAGGTGTTCATAAAATAAGTCCTGAGAGTCTGTTCTTAAAGGATCCTCTGATTGTGGCTCTGTTGCTTTTTTTGTGCATGGTTTTAACTAATATTAATTTTTCTACTAACATAAAGATTGATTTTTTTGCTGCTGTCTTTTTTGATTGTCTGTTAATTTATCAAGGTATGGTTAACTGAACTGGACTTCAGGTTTTTTTCTTTCTAAGTGACTCATGTGAACATGTGTTAATATTGTAGAAGTTTACTAGTATATCTTTAAAAGCTAAATATAACAGGATGTTATGACTTAGGATAAAACAACCCAGGCTGTTAGAAAACGTCTTTTAGGTTTACCTTTTTTGACAAATACAGTGTTGAGGACTACTTTTGTATTCAGTCTGGCTTATGGTTCCCTACACAAGTTCACATCTCCAAGCCCTTCAGAGTGGGGAAGAAGGCCTGTATGGGCATAACAGACTACCCTGAGAAAGCGTCCCTCTCTGTGAAGCAGGAAGAATTTTTGCAAACTGATTGGCTTCATATTTGCCAATCATACTTTATTTTATTCACCCTTCGTTAGAAAAAGCTGGTTCAGAATTGTGATCCTGGCTAACGGGGTTCTCCGAAGCTCCATAAACATTGCAGCTCTACAGCATGATAGTGGGATGGAATTATTATGCTGGAAATTGGTTTTTATTAAAATGCTGCTACTGCCGCATGTGCAGAACAAGCTGGCCTTTGAAATACAGCCTTAAATTATGTTCCCTCTGCCTCTTCTGCTCTACGTGTGTTTAAGGAAAAATCAATTTGACTTCTACTGAAATGAAAATGTGACATTTTTAAAGGCACAATGAGATAAGTAATTTTAATTAGGAAGAAAGGTCAACAGGTCACAGAAATACTTTCAGAGTTGTCATTCCTTGACGTTTACTGTGCATCACAGTTATTTCAAGCAGAGAGTTCAGAGAGGAGCAGAGAATATTGCCTCTGGGTCCCCCTTTCAGTCAAAGTTCTCTGCCTGTTAGAGGTACCACATACCATAATAAACGTGGAAGGTAACCTTTCACCCAGGTGTTCCTGGAAAGAAAGTCATTCTTTTCAGGTGTATTTCTGAAAACACTTTAATAATGATCCTGTGACCCACCATAAAATTAATACTTTTACTTGATTTGGGGGACTCTGGAGGAATTTGGGTGTTTTGTTTTGGCAGTATTACCATTCACAGACTGTCATGGTTCTGGGAGAAGTCTTGCCCCTTTTCTTAATTTCTTCTTTGTTTTCATCTCTTTTCCTTGATTCCTATTAATTTAACCAGTATTTAGAACTAGGAAAAAATAGCAGTATAGTTTAGTTTTTCTCAGGGTACCACAAGGACGAGAATCTTCCAAGCCATAGTTCTTTGGGATCATTTATATTGTTTTTACATCCCCTGAAGGTAACACGCGGTGTCCACAGGGGCGCTGCTGGGGATGCTGGTGTGCTAGCATACACATGGATTGCAAAGCACCACAGGCTGATGGCTGATGCTGCCCAGGAATCTCTGTGTTGCTCCACACCTTAGGCTTCATCCATTAACGGGGTGTAAACACCAAAGGCAGGCTGGGGAGGAACGTAACTGTTAATAGCTTAATGCAGTGCCTTTCACCCAATTTAGCTCTATTCTTCCAGATAGAAGTTTTTAATTTTAGAGAGAAATTTCAGACAAATCTTAATCATTTGACGCTATCTTTCACACTAGTTGAATTAGTCCTTTCTATTTGATTTTTTTTCCCTACTATGTTTATCACATGAGCAGAAAGGTTGGGATGTATGTGAATCTTGCCTTTTGGTATCCAGTATCTGGTTTGCCAGAATTCAAGCACTGTCCTACCCACACACACTTTTGTGGTCGTTAACTATGGCTAAGTAGACTAGCTAATGACAGACGTCGAATCTAAATTTGCTCTCAGATAGGTGCTACCTCATTTGGGGGGGAAATTATTTTTTTCCATTTGAGGTAGTTATGTCTGTTTAACTCTGGCAATTTCAGTTGTAGCGTCTTGTTAGCAGGAAGGGTTGCCCTGAGCTCCCCCTGCCTTGGAGCTCCTCCTGTCCCTGGAGCTCACCCAGACCATCCTAAACAGTGAGAGAGACACTGTGCTGCTTCAGCTTTCCCTACAGAAGATGCACAGCCTTGGTGACATAGTCACCTGCTTGGCAGACCTGTGTGAAGTTCTCCATACCTACTTGGCCCTTTTTATCATAGTAGTAGTCTATTTTCTTCTCTTCTGGCCTTGGAATTGGGGAGCTATTGGTCAATCTCTGCCTTCTCAGAAATGGCCCTTTTCAGGCTTTTTTCCTTTTTCTTTTCCTCTGAAGTCCTTTACAGAACTTCAGCCTTAACTCAACAAATGTACGCTAGAATACTATGCATCAAGCTCTGGGTTAGACGGTAAGGTTTCTACTCCCATTGGTGTATAGTAGGAAGGACAGATATTAAAATAGTAATTAAAGACATGGTATTCATTTGGAAGTATACAAGAAGGGCATTTACCTAGCATGGTTTCTTAATCCACTATTATTTTGAGTTTCTTCCCTGGCTTCTCATATCAGTCACTTAGCCGTGAGTCAGCAGGGTGGGTCAGCCCCCTCTCATTTGGAGCATGAAAAATGGAATATATATAGCGTAAAGACACTGGACTAGGAGTTAGAACATTGGACCTCTGGGTCAGTTCTAGTTGTGCCTGCTGTCTTCGGCCAAGTCACTTACCTTTCTGAACTTTATTCTTTTAACCTGTATATAGAAATATCTGGCCCACTAACCTCACTGAAGCCAAGTGAGGGGGGTCGAGTGTAATAATATGGGTACAAGAATTATGAATGCTATAAAGTACTGCATAGAAACATACCACATGCAGATGATCTATCTAATGGAGATTTGAATCTGGCTCTGGCTGTCGTTCAAGCAGCAAAATCATCTATGAGGAGAAGCAGGCATTTTCCCAGCAAGTTACCTGCCTTTCCCAAGAATTTTCTTTGAGCTAGGAGAATAGCCTGCAGTACCAAAGAACTTCACCTGGCATAATGGAATTTGTTCTGCCTGCCAGGGCAGAGTTCCTGCTCTGCACCTGGAAAGGTGTTTTCTATTGGTCTATTCTGTAATTGGATGTACAACTGAGTTATACAGGGCAAAATCAAACACAGAAGTTAATGCTATGTGGTATCACCTTTTAACCTTTATCTCTGGGTAGCTCAAAGGACTGAGGTCTGCTGCTCTGGACCCACACTGTTCGACATACTTCCTGATTCTATTCTTGGCACAGCATTAACCTCTACAATAAAACAATCTGCAGACAGTCTTTGGGAACAAAATGGGTTAATTCTTTCAGGACTGTGAGTGCCAAAACTTTCAGGCAATTTCCCGAAAGAGCTGGTACATTTTATTTAAAAAAAAAAAAAAAGGCAGCCTAACCTATTCTCAGAGAGCAATTTATAAATAGCCTTTGTAAAAATAATAAACATGAAACAGGTTTCATAAAACTTCATCATATCAGGATCTGGAATATCCCAGTATCTAAACTGTCACTCAGGAATAGTTGCATCCTTCTGGGTAGTGTCCCTCATTTTACTGAGTAAATATAGAATCCATTTGTAGTAGTGAGAAAAAGCCTTCGCCTTCGAGATTTAAGCTCTGATTCTCTAAAGACCATTGGAGTAGGTTTTATCTGGATGCAAGAGGACAGACCTCGTGTTTACATACATATTTCCCTGATTTCATCATCGCTTAATTTCAGTTAAAGACAGATTCTCTGCCATGTAGCCTTATCTTTTTCTACAATGGTAAAGATTCTTCTAAGGGTCTTAGCACAGTGGTTCTCAACCTTCCTAATGTTGTGACCATTTAATACAGTTCCTGTGGGTCATGACCCAGAGGTTGAAAACTGCTGGTCTTAGAAGAAGGGCTTGGTAAAGGTCACCAAGAAAGTTTGCAATCATTTCTACTGCAGAGGGGCAGCAGAGGGGCTGTTAACTGCATGAAGAAAGGCTTTCAGGAAGAACTGCCTTGTGAAATTGTATTACAGACTTGTGCAGGAGACGTGGCAACCCCTTGCTCAGGTGTTAAAGCCTGGAAGTAGTGAAGCTTCTTGTGTGTTTTCAATCTCAATAGAAAATGTGTACATTTTATGTTTTGAATTAACTGTAGAAAAATCTCTTTCTCTTTTTTGTGATTATCAAAGTTTTTTGAAACATATACATAGAAGAATTTAATTAAACCATGAACCTCACATACTGTTGTCTGATGTAAACATATCTACAATTATTAAGGGGAAAACTTGATTTTCTTTCCAGATATTCATTTTCCAACTAATCAGAAATATATATTATTCCATATAGTAAGGTACCACAACTTTATACATATTTGATTAAATATTATATCCCATGAAATCAGTCTATCATCCATGTGATACCTCTTAGAGTTATATAGAGTGAGAAATCTAACTTATTTTTATAACAATCCAGGAGTTTTTTTCATCCCTGTTCTGTTACTTGTCTTGTCCAGCTTTTCCCTCACTTTCTTTTCCCCCAGGTCTTTAACATGAAGTATATTCTGTCTGTATTCACCCCGCCATGGATACTTGTTTAAAATGTTTTTTCACTGTGTCCTCTGCTTTTACTTATATCATCTTTCACTTTTACTGTGTATGGGACATGGTTTCTCTCCTATTCATGTGCCATTAAAGATGCAGTATTAACCAATTGGCTTTTATAAAGTGTCAGTATTTATGTTTATTTTGAAAACCTTAAGGCAGCCTTGCAAATAAGTACTAAAACTATACTAGCCTATAAAAACTGTTTGCTCTACTCAACTGGCATAGATGGCTAAATGTTTGTTGTGCTCGCCAGGTTATTTGCTTGTAACTAATAGTTCTTTGTAACAAGGAAACAAGGGCTTTTATTTCCTTCATAGTACTGAAAATTATTAAGGAATGCTGTTGTGCCCACATTCAGATTTGTTGTGGAGGGCAGCAGTGTGGTGCAGAGTTCCCCATCTGCAGTCCTTTTGCCTCTACCTTAAGCCTGAGAATGATTCACTCACTGCTACCTGCCTCAGTTTCTTTGTTTTTTTTATAAAACCATCCTCTCTCTCCTGTTTTTGCTCATATCAGTAAAAGCAGATGATTGCTGCTATTGAGAGCAGTTGCTGACTATACCTGGAAACCACTGCATCTCTACTGGCCTGTGCCTATGTAATCTTTGCATAATGTTATCCTTCTCTTTCTTCCATTTCCCTATCACCAACCCCTATAGAGTCGGGATATAAGCCCAGAAGAGATAGATTTAAAGAATGAACCTTGGTATAAATTCTTTTCGGAATTGGAGTTTGGGAAACCGGTAAGTTTAATAGCTTCAGTGGTTATACACCTTTTAAAATAATGCTGTTGCTGCATTGTTGCTGCTAAAGACTAAGATCTATTTGTAAGGAATTCGGAAGGTGAGGAACAGTCATTGGGTGGTTTATAGTAGGATAGTCTTACTACAACCTATAAACTTCCCTTTGCTTGCTTAGCCAAGAAAGGATAGTGAGCTCTGGAATATCTTGACAGACTATCCCAGAGAGACACTGAATAGTCATTTCTTGTCTTTGGACCTCCTGCTGGTAACAATCAATACCACATGCCTTGTCAATGGCATTATTTTGGTTATTGGTTCACTTCCTTGACCAAAGTATTTATGACATACTAAAAATAAGCAGGAAAGTGCATTGCATGCTGAGGAGACCAGCATTATCACTGATTTAAACAGCATTTTACAAAGCACAGATGCAAGGAAAGTGATCACCCCTTATGGCAAATCTCTGAAAATATGACCTACAAATGCAGCCCCATTAGAGATGACTTTTAGGGAATGATTTCTGTGACTTATGATAAAATTTCCCAAAGTTTAAGATGAGAAATAAGGAATTCCAGCATATTTAGCATTTACCTAATCTTCCCATGACATCTCTGAATTGGCTTGGTACCGATTGACTTTTGGCACTTCAAGGAGGATATTCTTAGGCCTGCACCAAAAGGAATATCAAATGGAAGAGACTCGAGCTCATCCTTCCACGGGAGATGACCAGAAACTGACATTAAAACTCTAGCTACTTAAAGCTTAATTATTACAACTGCAAAAGGAATTTACAGGTGGAAGAGTTAAGTTATAAAAACATTTTATTAGATATTTGTATGAGACTTTAAACACTGAATTCAGCTTTTGAATTACTGTGGTTTGGGATGATAGTTTTATTTGCAGACAATAAAATGTTAAATTCCATGTCTATTTTTCATTAATATGAAGACATAAAGAAATTAATCTGGTGCTCCAGAATTGCTAATTTGATTTAGCAATGCTCAGCTTGGTTGGAAAGTTCAGGCATCTTCTGATCTAGGAGCCCCAGACTAGGAAACAGCCTACTTGGTCCTCTTCGTCTGCTGAGCTATTTCAAATGAACAGCGCCACCTAGTGAACCATGAAGAGGGTACATTCAGCCAAAGCTACCCACCTTTCTTGTCCCCTCTCCAAAGTTTTAGTGCACACCTCATGTCTTCTCCCTTCTCTCCTTTATTTCTCTGCTGTTTGCCTTTCAAACATCAGTTAAATCTATCTCTTTTTCACATGCAAATATTTAACAGTATCCTAATGTTTTTCTTGTCCTTTTTCTTTTTTTTTTTTTTTTGAGACAGAGCCTCAAGCTGTCCCCCTAGGCAGAGTGCCATGGCATTACAGCTCACAGCAACCTCCAATTCCTGGGCTCAAGCGAGTCTCCTGCCTCTGCCTCCCAAGTAGCTGGGACCACAGGCGCCCGCCACAACGCCCGGCTATTTTTTTGGTTGCAGCCATCATTGTTGTTTGGCGGGTCCGGGCTGGGGATTCGAACCCGCCACCTTAGGTGTACGTGGCTGGCGCCTTAGCCGGTTGAGCTATAGGCGCCGAGCCTCTTGTCCTTTTTCTTAAAAATCTGTTCCTCTCTCTCTTGGTTTCTCTCTCAGTTTCTCTCTCTCTCTCACACACACACACACAACATTTGATATATGATATATGTAGTTTTTCCATAGGCCTACACAAAAAAAACATGATTTGTATATGTGACAATAATGCCATACTTCATCAAGGAAAGCAAAGATTATTACTTTTAAATTATATTTTAATAGAGTCCTTGCCATTGATTTTTGAAGTCCCTTTCAGAACCACAAATTTCTGGCCAGCTCATCTGCAAATAGATAAACCAATTTTGTCTGAACATTAGCTTTTAGAAAATATTATGGGATAATTTTTTTCTACTTAATTGTGATTGACTTGTTTTACTAAATGTATCATTGCAAATCATTTTTTTATAGATAGTATTTCAGGCTCAGCATACATTAAATTGGCTCTGTGAGTGGCTTGATAGATTAATTCTGTTTCTACGGAGTACTCCAGTCTGAGTTCCACACAACTACTTAAAACAGCTGCCAAGGATTCAGTCCATTTTTATATTAGGACCTTTTATCACTTGTAACCTTACCTATTGGTCTAACTGCATCTTAATTATTTAAAGACTTAAAGATGCTTTTTCAAAATGGCATTTTCTCTGAAGCCACATGTGTTTCTTGCGCAGACCTGAGAGTCCTTCTGATGGGACTGCTCTTTTTTGTGCAGGTCTTATTTTAAAAGGTAATGCTTTTGAATACATGCCAAAATAACTCAATCCACGCCCATGTCCTCAAGAACAGCCCTGAGATTTATAGTCCCTTATGGTCTGAGACATCTTAAGGGTGCGGTCATTATCTGGTTGAACCCACAGAGTTTGGAAAGAGGTTGTGGTAGGGAGAAATTTTTTTTTCTTTGATTTTCTTCCTATTCCAACTATGCTGCCACAAAAGAGTAAGCAATGTAAACCTTGGAAGTTGTTTTGGAAAAATTTGCAGCCATTGGCTCGGCACCTATAGCTCAACCGGCTAAGGCGCCAGCCACGTACACCTAAGGTGGCAGGTTCAAATCCAGCCCGGACCCGCCAAACAACAATGACGGCTGCAACCAAAAAATAGCCGGGCGTTGTGGCGGGCGCCTGTGGTCCCAGCTACTTGGGAGGCGGAGGCAGGAGACTTACTTGAGCCCAGGAGTTGGAGGTTGCTGTGAGCTGTAATGCCACGGCACTCTACCCAGGGGGACAGCTTGAGGCTCTGTCTCAAAAAAAAAAAAAAAAAATTGCAGCCATTCAGAAGCAGAATGATATTAAAACTCTTACCCAGTGATGTGGATCATTATTACTGCTTTTTTTTCACACCAACTTAGGAGCACTTCTCCGAAGTAAAGCCTGCCAGAACTTTGACACTAGACATTCACCCACTCCTTTCTTCCTCAATTCCTGCTCAGCTATTTCAAGTGAACAGCGCTATTTAATGCCACCCAAAATGAACTGAAATTTTAACAAGATCCTTACTGTAATGCCTTTTAACTCCAGCAAGTCATAATAGAACAACAAATGGTTCAAAGAACCATTCAGGAGAGGATTGCTTAAAACCAATTTAATTTGTAAACACTGTCTTTTTTTGTTGTTGTTGCAGTAAGAAATAAATAGAGGTATTGCAAGTGACTGTAAAAAGTCTCCTCCCCCAGATGAGCAATCCCAGTGTATCGAGTACTTAAAGATGAGTGATCATTGCTAATTCCACTCCTTTTACAAACTGCAGAATGTACATGTCCAGAGATGACAGTACTAACTTGTTGGCATCAATGGTGAACACATTTTGAATCATATTTTTTTATTTGCAGATTTATTACAAAGAGCCTGAGTATCAGCTTTTTCTTCTCTTTTCCTTTCTAATTTCTATAGCAATTGACATGATTTCTCTGTGTAAACTCAAGTCCAAACTTCACAGAGTAAACCAAGTGGGATGCTTCCAAAGAATTGGTTATAATGAAATTGCATAAAATTTTAGGAACTATCAATAATCCCCTGTTTCTCATCATCCCAGAGATCATCATAGAGGAAAATTCAGTTCTAGATAGGCAGCACAAGAGGTCCACTTGGTAGGGCAGAGGTCCAAGAGTTAGAAGTGCATTGTAACTTTTAAATGTTGAATCCTGGGAAACCCTCCCTCATTAAACCTTCAAAGAATCTTCTGGAAGATCTCTATCTGAGGAATGCAGCTCTAATTCTAACATGAAGGATTAGCAGAGAAAATGAAAATAACTCTATAGTCCACTATTTAAATTCTGAGTTTAAACTCTGTTTTTTAAGGAGGATAGAAGGTATGTTTCTATTCCTGGCAGTATTATCAAAGTGTAGTTGGACTATAAAAGATTTTAAAACCAGTTGGGTAAAATTGTCTGGTTCACTGTCTAACACCCATTTTGTGCGTGGATTTCATTGCCACAACTATAGAGAGCACGTTTTAGTTTAGCTTTCCACTGGCCAAACCTGTAGATGAACACATATGTTAATATAAAGTGAATTTTACAGTAGGGGATGTCTGCCTCAAAAATACAGACTCTCCAGTGTCAATCTTAGTTTAAAAAAAAAATAAGGAATTTTAAAGTTTCTGCTTTTGTTCAAATTGTGTTAATGCTTTTTTTCTTTTTCTTCTTCTTTTTTTTAAGTTTTCAGTATTTATTATAAAATCCAATGATGATTTGTTCTTGAGACATAGACATAGAAACAAACTTCCTAGGTAATGGTCCCAGCTTCCACGTCCTCAGAGCTCCCCCTTGGGGCAGGTAGCCTGCGTCCATAGGCAGAATGCCCACCCCCTTTGCTTTTGAGTTCCCTTTTCTGTGTTGATATGATTCTCCTAGTGTGCCCCCTCTTTGTTTGAGCCAGTCTCCATGTTTGTCTTGATGTCTTTATGCTCATTTCTTCATTTCCTCCTCTGCTTCCCGTCAGCCTCCCAAAAAGATATGGGATTATACTCCTGGAGACTGCTCTATCCTTCCTAGAGAGGATAGAAAGGTAATTCCGCTGTGCCTCCTCTGTTGAACTGTGTGTGTGCTCTAGCCTTGGTTAGTGTGAGTGTGTTGTGGGTTTGTTTTGTTTTCTGAAGTCACTTTTTTTTTTTTTTAAACTTGGTGATAACTTTTTTTTTTTTTTGGCTTGGTGATGAAACTATTTAACAAAGTCTCTGAGACATATACTAATGTATAGAGGTTTTCTAAGCAATTACTTATTCTTCTGACATATAGCATTTATCACAGTCACCGTAATCTGAAAAGCAAGGAAATAAGTATTTCCTTAAAGGTAGGTTCTGGTGATATTTGTAGTGCTGTTTAGCAAGTAGAATAGATTTTTGAAGCTGATTACTTTAGGGTTCCTATTTTATAAGCATAATGTTATGTTCTCTGTTTTCATGTCTTTAACTAATTTCTGGTGAGCTCTTGTGTTTTTAGTCATAGCATCTTGGCCTTTATGAAAGTATAACACTAAAAAGATCATTTTTTCAAACTTAATCTTTCATTCATTCTCCCTTTCCTCTAAACTAAAACTTTCTTTCCCATCTTTTCTTTCTTGAACCAGACTAATCTAGACAAAGATCTCAACCTCTGCCAAACAGAGTTAGAGGCAGATTTAGAAAAAATGGAGACGCTTAATAAAGCATCCAGTGCAAACCTGCCACAGGTATTTCCTAGTTTTTCTCATGCCATCAGTTCCTTTCCAAGCTCTGCTTTGTGTCCTTCTTTGTTCTGTAATTTTTGGTATAGTTGAGGTGATGGACGGTTATGCTGGTTATTTTAAGCTGCATGGCTTTCTGACTCCTGTTTAGATTCCTTTCTCAACCCTTAATCCCCAACCCAAGTTAATTTTTGCTTGGATTTCTTTTGAGCTTGGCATCTTCCCGAAAGGGGATTCTTTATAGACAGAATGGCTGGTGATTTAAACTCCTCTCCCCACCTTTTCTCTTTCTCCGCTGTCAAGGCACAGCCCTGTTAAATTCCCTTCCTTCACCTCTGTGTACATTCTCTGAATTTTCAGACAGCCATTTTTGGCCCTCTCCTTGTCTTTTTTGCAGCCCTGGGAGATACCAACCTCAGAGATCATTTTCAGGAGCACAGCAGCAATGATTTGGGTGCTTCTTCTGTGCATGGTGCTGTCAGAGTAGTAGTGTTTGTCATCTTAAAGGTCAGAAACTTCTCAGTGAAAAAATGCTCTCCATGGGTCAGACAGCCTGTATATGAGCAAGTGTTTGAAACTGAGCCTGTATTGATATTTTTGAAGAAAGTTATGTCAAAATGTGGTTTACTAAAGAGTATGTGGGAGAAAGAGAGAGACACACACACGTATACTCCCCCCATAAACAGCCAAGAATTGGATTGACAAAGGAAGGAAAAAAACAAGTGTGGGCTGGACACGGTGGCTCACTTCTGTTGACCTAACCCTTTGGGAGACTGAGGTAGGAGGATCGCTTGAGCCCAGGATTTACAGGTTACAGTGAACTATGATTGCACCATTGCACTCCAGCCTGGGTGACAGACTGAGACTTTTTCTCTTTTTGTTTGAGACAGAGTCTCACTATGTATATTACCCTCAGTAGAGTGCTGTGGTGTCCTAGCTCACGGCAACCTCCAACTCTGGAGCTTAAGCAATTCTCTTGCCTCAGCCTCCCAAATAGCTGGGATTACAGTCATCTGCCACAATGCCCAGCTATTTTTTGTTGTTGTTGCAGTTGTCATTGTTGTCTAGCTGGACTGAGCCAGGTTCAAACTTGCCACCCTTGGTGCATATGACTGGTGCCATAACCACCGTGTGCTGTGGCATCACAGCTCACAGCAACCTCAAACTCTTGGGCTTAAGCAATTCTCTTGTCTCAGCTTCCCAAGTAGCTGAGACTATAGGCACCCACCACAATGCCCAGCTGTTTTTTGGTTGCAGTTGTTTAGTTGGCCTGGGCTGGGTTTGAACCTGCCACCCTCAGTGTATGTGGCTGGCGCCATAACCACTGGGCTATGGGCACCGTGCTGCTAAAAGAGATTTTTATAAGGAAAAAAAGGGATGTTTTTAGAAAGAAAATAAAAACGGAATGTGGGCACTGCTGAAAAGACTAGGAAAGTCCACTGACCATGGCAGGAAAAGTGGAAACATGCCACACTTATGCAGAACCAAGGCAAGAAGGCTCAGATCACCAGCCTGTTTGAGTTGTACAAAAAGTCATGTGAGAGTCAGAGATTCAAACCAGGGAAGGGGAAAAGAAACCAAAGGAATGGGCAACAGCTGAGAGGGCTCAGGAGGGTGGGAGAGTCAGAAGCATAGCAGCTGAAAGCTGGGCTGTTCAGAGGAGGCAGGATCAAGAGCCCAGGGAGGCAGTAGGTTTGAGGGAGCTGGCAAGGCCAGGGGCGGGCCCAAACTCTCCTTTAAAACTTGGAGGAGACACAAGAGACAAGTCATATGCTCACCATTTAGGCCAGCGGTTCTCAACCTGTGGATCGCAACCCTTTTGGGGGTTGAATGACCCTTTCCCCTTTCACAGGCATTGCCTAAGAGCATCGAAAACCACATATTTCTGATGGTCTTAGGAACCGAGACACTGCTCCTCATGTGTGGAGGTCACCACAGCATGAGGAACTGTATTAAAAGGTCACAGCATTAGGAAGGCTGAGAACCACAGGTTTAGTTGGATAGGTGACAGGGTAACTTAAAGGGCTGAGTTTCCAATCTAGGTGGGCAGTGAAACCAAGAACAGCGACTGTGAGGTTGAAGGTCCAAGGTAGGAACCAGCTAGTTCTAGAGTGAACATGGTGGCTGTAGCTAAAGTTGGCCTCCTAAAGTTGGCTGGGAGGTCTGAGATAGTAGTTCAAGGTAGCCCCAAATAATAAGAGAGCTCCTATAACCCATGTGCAGATAGGAGGCGACTTGGAACCACTGAACTGACTGCAGCCCCCCTGCAGGCAGAGCTAGTCAGAGTGGGCATAGAGAAGCATCCTGCACGTTAGTGAGTCCTCTGCACATCAGTTCAGTTAACTGGTGCCCATGCGTCCTGAGTGTGTATGACACGTGCTACAGGAGTTCTAAATTGGTACAAAAAAGTGGCTTTGCCGTCTGGAACTTGACAGTTTAGTCACACTCATGAATAAAAGACCTCCAGCAGTGCACAGCAATGCGTGCTCAGAGCCGAATGGATGGCACGGGCTCACAGCACCAGGAGAGAGAGAAGTCATGTGGAAAGTCAGAGAAGGCTTCTCAGAGCAGTTAGCCCGGATCTGCAGGAGGAGATGGACTGGAGGTGCATGAGGAAAGTAGGAGGATGGAGAAAACATCACAGAAGTACACATGTTTAAGTTCTGTTCAGGAAAAAGACAAGTTCAGTTGGAGTAGGAAATTGAGGGTGGGACTAGTGGGAGGTAGATTTGGGAAAAAAGATTGACCCTGGATTGTAGAAGCCCAGAAAATATGACAAAAGATGATTGGGTTTGCCCTCAGACCAGTGATGTGATTCAAAAAGTGCTTTAGGAAGATTAGTGTCATTGCTTGGGAGGAGCTGAGTTGAAGGGAGCAGAAAACTGAAGTCTCCAGGAGGCACCTGTAGTAGTCCAGGTGTGTAGAGGTGAGATCCCACGCTGTGGGGCACCAGCATGGGGTGTGTGTGAGAGAGAAAGCACCAAGGACATTGCTGTGGGATATTTCAGCTAACTGGCACGAACAAGAAAGATTTAGGGTTGGAGCCAGCTAGCTAGAAGACTGAGGACATGAGTATGTCACATAAGAAAGCTGGGAAGAAAATCAGGGCAGAGGTAAGGCAAGGAAGCTGGTTTCAGGTAATTGATTTTCAAAGTGTTGGTTGGATATCTTATAGGGAATATCCAGTAGACAGTTGGAATTCCAAGACTGGGTCTCATAGAAGAGGCAAGGGCTTGAGAAGTTGACTGGAGTCACCTCAAGAGGTGATGGTTGACAGAAGACGGAAGAGGGAATCATGTGGGGAGAAAGGATGAGACACCAAGAGCTACCCATTGGGATGCAGGGTGACATGGAATAGAAGAGAGGCCGAGACAGAACAGTTCAGAGAGGCAGGAGCAAGAGAAGGAAATGTGAGAACGGCCCAGAGCTGAGTGGTCTGGAGAAATGGACTTCGAGGAAAGGTCAATGGATTTGACAATTAAGAGGTTTTTGAAAGACTTTGGAGGTTGCTAGGGGAGCAGTTGATTGGCGTTAGAGTATGTGACAAGAAATCAGGAGATCATGCAGGGCTGTGGCACTGAGTGAACAGATGTGATCAGGAAAGGAAGGGAGGGAGAGAGTAGAGGTGTTACAGAGGACTCACAGGGTCGTGTAAAAGTCTTTCCAAGATGGAGACTAGGACAATGTCTTTGAAGGTGTAAGACCAGAATGGGGGAGGTGCTAAAAGGTGTGAGTCTCGAGGGCGGGGTGGGCAGGCAAGATAGTAGAGCCAAACTGGCAGGAGGATGAATGTGGAGGCAAGAGGGGTGCCCTCTCTGAGGAATAGTGGGGGTATTGTGGGGCAGTCCTCATCCTGGGGCAGAGATGCCCTCAGAAGAGAAGGGACACGAGCCCCACAGGTTTCAGCAGGCAGAGGGCCAGGTGACTGAGTTGGCTCCCCTCCCTCTCCTCTCCTTTTCCCTTTCTTTCTCTCCTTTCCCCAAATGTCTCTTCTCCAGGCAGCTTAAAATGGTTCCATAAAATGGTTGTTTTAGAGATATGGTCATTATTAGAAATAGGAGTGTCTATTAAGGTTAACATGTAGGTTGATTTAGTCGACCACTACATTATTTTAAAAAATAAATATATTGAACCCTTTGGATTCTTCTCTCCAGGACAACAACAGAAACCCTAAACTACACAATTATGTTACTTTTTCTCTGCATGCAGCTCTTGGTTGTTTGGTTGTTTTCCTCCTTTTGCATAGTGCCCTGGTAATTTTATAAAGGATTCCCTTATTCATGCTGAAATGGTCATTAATAAGGTTTGCAAAATTACATTTCCACACTTCTAAATCAGCAGGCATATACAAATTATAGAAATACGATGTGGTATTGTAAAATGCATTTTTGTACATTCTAGACCTAAAGTGTCAGGTAACACTCTCTCTGGATGTGGCATTTGGGGCGCATGAATGCAACTGCAATGGGCTTGGGGGGCGGCTGTGGGCAGGGGAGAAGCTGGTGGAGGGTGTGATGTCATGTCACTAATGCATGTTGGTCCAGTGGTGGCCAGTGATGGAAAACAAGTGTGAGCCAGGAGGTCATTTCCTGACCTGCCCGGAGGGCTGCATCCATCTGCTGGGATACAAATGACCCGGAGTAGGAGAGCCTACCTGCGCAGACATTCTCCTCCCAGAGAAAGGCCACCGCCCTCCACCAGCACCGAAATCCTTTCCATCCAGGCTCCCTGACTCCCAGAGGCCCTTATCTAAATAATTAGAAAAGGAAAGTGACTTCTCTTTTTTCCCTAACTTCAAATGTCTGAGTCAAAATAAATTATCTACATTATTTTTATCTTACTTTTTTTTTTGACATTTATAGACCTCAGCAGTCAGCCCTACTCCGGAAATTTCTTCAGAGCCTCCTGGATAGTAAGTTGCCATTCCACTTTGTATATTGTTTGGGATAATGTATTAAATGTCAGACATTGAGACGAGAGAAGCTTGTTTTGGACCCAAAGCATATTTTCTTTGTATCAGTATAATGGATTCAAATGATGCAGAGTTTGATGATAAGTAGCAATCTAATTATTGTCTTCAAATTATTTTTCTTCTATTCTTTTCCTCTTGCAAATTAATTTTGTGATGGTTCATATTATCTTTGGTAAGTTTTTTTCCACGTTAGCATCTTTACCTTTAGAATGTGTGTTTATTTGTCTAAGTTTAGAATCAAAACTCTCACGTGATGGTTCTTAAGGGCAGGTGGGTATGTGACTAAGAAAGGCCCCATCTGGAATAAACATGGAGGGAGGGATGGTGGGATTGAAATATGGTGGGACGACAAGGGGGCTAACTTACCTGATTCTTACAGAGATGTGCATTTATGCCAATTCTTAGGACTCTGCCTAGTTGATACAGGCACACCCCACTCACTTCTTCATGGGTAACCACCAGCCTCCTTTCCCCACCCCCAAGCCGGCCTGAATCCTCTAGCAGATTGCCTTCTTCCATACTTGGCCATGCAGCTGTTATCTCAGCTGGAAATTTTCAGTGTTGCTTTCACCCCCTGCTATATACATGGTGAATAGCAAACAGTTAAGCTTTTTTAAACAGGTCCTAGTTGAGCCTTCATGTACTCACTCAATCTTATCTTAGTACATCTTTGGCCCTTATTTCTGTTGCTATATATCTGAATTATACTCTATTTTTATAATTGCAAGTGAATTATAAACTCCTTGAGAGCAGGGCCTGTCTCTCCATTGTGCCTGTTACACCCAATCAATTTGATAAAGTTCTGATAGGAGCATTTCCTTTTCACCATCACATCTATGTCTCGTTCTTTGAAATATGGTGAAGGGGAAAGGCACATCTATTGTCTGTTCCATTTGGATTGGGTAAATCCACAATAAAAAAAGTTACTGAGTGTAAGGGATTTTTTTTTTTTTGGACAAGTCTTATGTCACTGGGACATGTCTTACCTACCTTACAAAGGAATGTACTTTGCAAGAAGAGTTTCATTTGAAATTCAGCTGGAATTTGGGTATTTTCAGTGGGAAAAATGGAAAAACCTTCATCCTTCTAGGGTAGTGTTTAGAAGCTTCACTATGTTAATTTTTCTTCTGTAAGTACGTGTGCTTCATGATTAATGTACCCAGGAACATAAGAGATTGAGAGGATAAATTAAGATAGCAGCTGGAGGAAAATTTACTTGCCTTAGAGGATAGTTCCCACTTTGGAGAAGGCCAGTGTAAAGCCTCCTGTACCCACTGTGGGGTTAGTAATCGAGTCACCAATACATCAGAGAGAATCAGGGTTCAGGTGTAGGCTCCCCCATACTCCCTGCACTCTGGGCTCTGTGGCTCATTCACTTTTGGTGGGGGGGGGGGTGTGTTAAATGCTGTGGCGTTACTGCTCACAGCAACCTCAGACTCTTGGGCTCAAGTAATTTTCTCCAGTAGCTGGGACAACAGGCACCTGCTACAATGCCTGACTATTTTTAGATGGGGTCTTGCTCTTCCTCAGGCTGGTCTCCATCTTGTGAGCTCAAGTTCTCTGCCTGCCTCAGCCTCCCAGGTGGCTCACCCACTTTGAAAGAGCTTCCAGTTGAGCTGTGCCTTCAGCTGAGGATGACAACAAGTTACAAGTCCTCTAGGTCTCAGAGATGTGTTTTCAGAGGTGCAGCCTCCCAGGTGGGCTCAGGCTGCCTACAGATAAAGGACTTCCTCATGGCCACAGCTCCCAGCAAACTTTCCTTGGTCCCTAAGGCTACCTGTTTCTTCTCAGCTTATCACTTCGGGGGTGGGGAGCAGGGAGCACAACGCAAAAAAGGCTGCTTTGGGCAGCCCGCTGAGTGAAGTCCCCAGTTCTGCTGGACCCAAGCACTAAGCTAGATGTTATCGCAGAAATGTAGATATAGCCTGTTAGTAGTTGTGGGGACAAAACACACGCAAATAAGTGTTAGTAAAGAAAAAGGCAAAGTGGCAAATGAATGAAGTAGACTATAAAAGTTAAAAGTGTCAAGAGAAGGTTAATCTCAGAGGAGATTAATGCCGCCCGTGGTGTTTTAAAGAACTAGTGAAATTTAACACCGCCCTAGAAATCTGTGTGTGTGATGATTATTATTAAAATAACAATTATTTTAATAATAAAATTATTATTAAATAATTAAATAAAATAATTTTATTTTATTATTTTTTGAGACAGTCTCACTTTGTTCCTTTCTGTAGAGTTCTATGGTGTCATAGCTCACAGCAACCTCAAACTTTCAAGCTCAAGCGATTCTCTTGCCTCAGCCTCCAGAGTAGCTGGGACTACAGGTGCTCACCACAACACCTGGCTATTTTTAGAGATGGGGTCTTGCTCTTGCTCAGGTTGGTCTGAGTAATGGAGTTCTAGGCCAAGGATGGGTCCTGACAGTAAATTGTCATCTGCACCATAGTGCTGGGTGCGGTGGCTCACACCTGCAACCCTAGCACTCTGAGAGGCTGAGGTGGGTGGATTGCCAGAGCTCAGGAGTTTAAGGCCAGCCTGAGCAAGAACAAGACTCTCTAAAAATAGCTGGGTGTTGTGGCAGGCACCTGGAGTCCCAGCTAATTGCTTGAGCCCAAGAGTTTGAAGTTGCTGTGAGTTATGATGCCATGGTACTCTACTGAGGGTGACAAAGTGAGATGCTGTCTCAAGAAAAAGAAAGAAAATTAACAGATGTCATACTAAGGTTTAATGTTTTTGAGCTATTAAAATATAGTATTTAAGAAATTATTTATAATATTGGGCTAGCAGGGTTGAAGGGGACTAATTAGAAATGCTTAAAAGAACAAATTGATTTCAGACACTGCATAAACATAATGGTATTTGAAATATTAATTTACCAAGTATTCTTATTTATTTCATAAAAATAAGTCTCCAAAGGCCTCTGTTTTTCAGCCATAGCCTAGTTCTCAAGAAATACTTGGCAGGGATAGGTGAGTTTTTTCCTCTTTTATCATTTGGGAATTTTTCAGTAATCAGGCTTGGTTTTCTCCCAATTTGTCCAAAAGAGTAAGATTTTTCCATATTTGGAATTGGTGAGGGACTAGCCTAAGTAGAATACAGTAAATGTTTGCTCAATAAATGAATGGATCTATAAATCTTGATTAACTGGAGTCCCACTCACTTAGCACTGAGGCAGGCAATTTGTGAACTGAATCTGGCTTCCTTTGCTGGATAGGCAGGAGTGATGTGTTGAAGGAAACATTGGCAGTACTTCACCTCACCCAGGGGGCAAAGAAAGTGAAGTCCCAGGCTCAGCGCCTGTGGCTCAAGCGGCTAAGGCGCCAGCCACATACACCTAAGGTAGCGGGTTCAAATCCCCAGCCCGGGCCCGCCAAACAACAATGATGGCTGCAACCAAAAAATGGCCAGGCGTTGTGGCGGGCGCCTGTAGTCCCAGCTACTTGGGAGGCTGAGGCAGGAGACTCGCTTGAGCCCAGGAGTTGGAGGTTGCTGTGAGCGTGATGCCATGGTACTCTACCCAGGGGGATAGCTTGAGGCTCCGTCTCAAAAAAAAAAAAAAAAAAGAAGAAAAGAAAGTGAAGTCCCAGATCACACAGGTTCACAATTCTGTGGCATCTGGAGAAGTGATGGCATTTTAAGTCCACTTTCATATCTTGGACAGACTGCAGTTTATCATTTCATTGATTAACATTGATTATGTATCACAATACTTAACCTGGGAACAAAGAGGAAGAAATTCACCTGTAATCCAGATACACTAATACGACTGCCAGTCCTTTCCCTAAAAAGAAATACGTACTTTTATAGTTACCATCACAGTGTATGTCTGGTTTTGTGTTTTATTTTCATAGCATTATCAAACCTATAAATAGGCTCGGCGCCTGTGGCTCAAGCGGCTAGGGCACCAGCCACATACACCTAAGGTGGTGTGTTCGAATCCAGCCCGGCCCGCCAAACAAAAATGATGGCTGCAACCAAAAAATAACCGGGCGTTGTGGTGGGCGCCTGTGGTCCTAGCTACTTGGGAGGCTGAGGCAGTAGACTCGCTTGAGCCCAGGAGTTGGAGATTGCTGTGAGCTGTGATGCCACAGCACTCTGCCCAGGGGGACAGCTTGAGGCTCTGTCTCAGAAAAAAAAAAAACCTATAAATAATTAGTGAGAGCTACCTATTTTGCTGCATATAACGCACTGCCAGGTCTGATGTACTATCCAGTTTTAGCCTAAACATTTAGGAAAAAGTCTTCCATTTGAATTTTTTAATTCAAGTTTTCATTTATTTTTATATAGGTACTTTTTTGTCATAAAGGAATTTTAATATTTTTAACATATTATGGTTTAAGAAATTTTATGTAACAGATAATTACAAAATACAGCAACAGATACAAGGCATAAGGAATGCCATGTACTAGTAACAAATAATATTATTCATGTATGATACACTGTCGGGGTCCTGCCCCGAGAGCAGGATCCACTAAGACCTGTGGAAACTGGTGGCAACCCACTGAAGAAACATAGAGTTAGAAGCCATGATAAAGAAAGAGACATGAGACTCAGAGTAGAATTAAAGTGGGAGCTCAGAGGTCTGTTGCCTATTTGTGGGCTTCTGGCACTGGCCCAGAGTGTTTACTCCACTCTGCTTTTATTGACATCTATTTGCCCAGAGGGTAAGATGAGGGAGGGAAAAAAGATGCCGGCAGTTGCTGAGTGAGCATATCAGCTCCTATTGTTATTATTAACCTTAAGGGTAGCCTTCAGAAATCTGAAATCTGAGCCTTGTATTGGGAGAGATTCTTGCTTGAAATCACACACACAGATTTCTAGGAAGGTATTAAACTCCACTAGTTCTCTAAAACACCACCGGTGTGTTAATCTCCTCTGAGGAATCAGTGGGAGGGAGGCATTTTCCTCCCATCACCACCACAAAGGATCTTCCTCTGGGA